GGGCGCTCTCGCTTCTGCCTCGTGGTCTCATAAAAGCATCAACTACAGCAAGTCAAAGATTTCATCTCCCATCCCTGCCTCTAGGGTCAGTGGCAGAGCTTCTTGAATGAATGAATGAGTGAGCGAATGACCGAATGAATGAATGAACAAATGAACAAACAGATTTGTCACCCAGCAGTTACCACCGTTCCGCAAGGGGGCACCATGTATGCCAGGCACTGTCCTAAGTGCTCCTTATGGATAAGCGGATTCGATCCTCACGTGTCCCCTTGTGATGACACCAAGGCCTGATTATCCTTTGAAAGTCCTGTATTTCTTGGTAGTCTTCAAGCTCTGAATCTGATTAACACTGTTGGAAGGTACGAGATCACAGGCTCGGAACTCTGGACCTGCTAAGTAGCTTAGGGATCGTGTTATTCACAGCCTCGGAAGCAGACCAAAGGGACTGAGAGGCCTGTCTTGTGTCCCAGAGCTGCTGTGGGCATAAGAACGCAGGTTTCCCCACCCTGGACCAGTGTCCTTCCTGCCTGACAGCACTCTGCCCCCCCCTCCCAGAGCAGTTACGGTCCCTTCTGTTTGAGGACATTCACATCAGTAAATGTCAACATGGTGTGTTATTTATAGCAATGTTAATTTTGTATTAAGCATATTGATATATAATGAATAAATCACGTTGAAAAACATTAATATTAAACTTCTTTCTCCCTGGGGGTTCATCATTGGTAAACACCAGAGACCTCACCTACAGTTCAGGAAACCAACATCTTTTTTTTTTTTTTTTAAGATTTTATTTATTTATTTTTAGAGAGAGGGGAAGGGAGGGAGAAAGAGAGGGACACAAACATCAAGGTGTGGTTGCCTCTTGTGCACCCCCTAGTGGGGAACTGGCCTGCAACTTAGGCATGGGTCCTCACTGGGAATTGAACCAGTGACCCTTTGGTTTGCAGGTCCGCGCTCACTCCACTGACCCACACCAGCCAGGGCAGAAAACCAGCATCTAAAAGGCCCTGCAAAGAAGGCCTTTGCTTAGAGATCCCGGGGTCATAGTGGACACTTATTCACAGGTGTTAATTACGCATCTGTACCCAGCTGGTGTGTTCCCCATATTCCTCAGTATGCTGAGGCTGGAAGCTCTCTCTCTCTCTCTCTCTGTCTCTGCTTTGCATCTGAAGAGGGAGCTGGTTTGCCTGCAGGGAGCTGGGTCTACCTGTTCCTCCCTCTTTTTTTTTCTTTTTTTTTTCGCCTCTTTCTATTTTTTTTAATTAATTTATTTTTTTGAATTGATTATGCTGTTACAGTTGTTCTATTCCCCCCTTCATTCCCCTCCACCCTGCCCCCCCATCCCCACCATTACCCCCCTTTAGTTTATGTCCATGTGTCTCAAGTCCTTTAGGTTCTATATTTCCCATACTATTCTTGCCCCCCCCATCTATTTTCTATCTACTGTCTATGCTACTTGTTTTCTGTACCTTCTCCCCCCATCTCCTCCTCCCACTCCCCTGTTGCTAACCCTCCTTGAGATCTTCATTTCTATGTTTCCACTCCTGATCTAGCTGTCCTTTTAGTTTGCTTTCGTTTTAGTTGTGGTTGTTAATAACTGTGAGTTTGTTGTCCTTTCACTGTTCATGTTTCTTTAACTTCTTTTTCTTAGATAAGTCCCTTTAACATTTCATATAATAAGGGCTTGGTGATGATGAACTCCTTGAATTTGGTCTTATCTGAGAAGCACCTTATCTGTCCTTCCGTTCTAAATGAAAGTTTTGCTGGATAGAGCAATCTTGGTTGTAGGTCTTTAGATTTCATGACTTGGAATATTTCTTTCCAGCCCCTTCTTGCCTGTAAGGTCTCTTTTGAGAAATCTGCTGACAGCCTGATGGGGACTCCTTTGTAGGTGATTGTCCCCTTAGCTCTTGCTGCTTCCAGGATTCTTTCCTTCATTTTAATTTTGGCTAATGTAATTATGATATGCCTTGGTGTGTTTCTTCTTGAGTCCAACTTTTTTGGTACTCTCTGGGCTTCTTGGATTTCTTGGAAGTCTATTTCCTTTGCCAGATTGGGGAAATTTTCTTTTATTATTTGTTCAAATAGTTTTTGCACTGGTGGTTGTGTCTTTCCCCCTTCTGGTACCCCTATAATTCGGATATTGGAGCGTTTAAAGATGTCCTGGAGGTTCCTAAGCTTCTCCTCATTTTTCTGAATTCTTATTTCTTCATTCCTTTCTGTTTGATCATTTTTTTCTTCCTTCTGGTCCACTTCATTGATTTGAGTCCCAGTTTCCTTTTCATCTCTGTGGGTTTCCTGTGGAATTCCATTCATTTCCCTTAATTTAGCCTTCATATGTTTCTCTAATTTGTGGCTATAATCCACCAGATCTGTGAGGAAGCTGATGACCAGTGTTTTAAACTGTGCGTCTGAGAGTTTTGCTATTTCTTCGTCGCTTAGATTTATCTCTGGGGCTTTGAGTTCTCCCTGCGGCATTTTGGTCTGTTCTGGCCCTTTAAGTGGGAGAAGCGGCGCCTTGGAGTCCCAGGTCGCTGGGTTGTGACGCTGTATGTGGGGGCGTGGTCAGAGCGGGGAAATGGCGGTGCCCTCTATCGCCGCCGCGGCTGGTCCAACCGCCCACTCCCTCGCTCGCTCGCAATCAGGCAACCGCAGTCAACACGCTGCACCGCCTCCCCACTGTCTCCTCTGTAGTCGCTCACCCGGTGGGTCACTCGGTCGCTCACCAGGTCCAATCCTGCGTCTGGAACCTGCGCGTCCGGATTCGCGCGTCTGGATTCTGCGCCCGGGTCCGACCGAGCCCTCCTTTGCAACTCCTCACCAGACGCCGGTTTCGCCCCTTACCGGTCGGGCTGAAAAATTTGTTGTTAGCGGACTTCCGAAAAGTTCAGTTTTCCGTGTTCTGGTTGTGTTTTCTGATGCTAATATTTAGTTGTCCCTAAACTTGGTTGTGTGAGGAGGCACGGCACATCCACCTAAACCTCCATCTTGGCGGAAGTCCCTGTTCCTCCCTCTTGACCTCATCACTGTGCTCTTATTTTAGGCTTTCGCTACAAACCGACCCTCTTCTCCCTTGTGCTTGTCTTGTTATTTCCTTCTGTGCCCGCCTTTAGGTGTATCTGGCACGGCTTTATTTAACTCTGCAGAGCCTGTCGGCACAGACTTGAACCAAGGGCCCGTGTCCCGTACTGCATTTAATCATTGAGTGACACTGTGTCCTTCCTTCGTGGGAGGGGGCTGGAGGGGAGGGGTAGGGAGACGTCTTCATTCATTCAGCGGCTTTATCGCGTGCCTAGGAAAAGTCTCAGGCATGCAATAGGTCCCAGGGTTATAGGTGCGAACCAAAGAGACAAAGTTCCTTTACTTCATGGGGGCAGGAATACTCAGCCAGAAACTAATACATATGTACTATATCAGGTGGTGAGAGGTTCTAAGGGGAAACTTAAGTGCTGTTTTGGGCTGGGTGTTCCCAGCAGGTGTCTTGAACAGGTGCCCTTGAAGCAGAGACATGGAGTGAGGGAGGGGGACAGGTATCTAGGAGAAGAAGACTCCAGAAAGGAAATGCAGCAGGTGTGAGGGGTCGCGGGGCAGGACCATGCTTGGTTTGCTGGAGGGACCCCGAGGAGAGTGTGGGGCCCACGTGGTCAGGAGCCGGTGGGGGCTGAGGGGGGCGAATCCCTTCACGTGTGGCCTCCCAGGTCCTCTCAGACTTTGCCTTTGGCTCTGCGCTCAGAGATGGCACGAGCGGAGTTTCCTTGAGCAGGCAGATGGCACTGGCTGCGCTGTTGGCCGTCCTCGGTGAGGGTGGGAGGTCAAAGGGCAGGTTAGTCATCGCAGGGAGAGGCAGTGGTTCGACAGGGCGTGGAATGCGGGGTGCGAGGGAGACCCAGGCAGCAGGGAGGACTCCAGGTGCCTGGCCCGGGCATCTGAAAGAGGGGATTTGCCATTTTGGGGGGAGGAAAGCCCGAGGGAAGAACGGATGGTGCCTGCCTGCTCTGGGGGCGGGGGATGCGCCTGAAGACTGCCGTCCGCACACAGACGTGCTCCGACGGTTCCCAGATAAAACCGGCCCCTCCGCCCTGCACCCTGGGAAGCCCCCCATTTCTCCCATTTCCACGGCCCCCTCCCCCTCTCTCTGAGTCCACTGCCAGCAGCCTGTCCCCCCCTCACGCTGCCACACCTGCTTTTTGTCAGTGTCGGCAATGACCTCCACGGTGTCAGTTCTCCGTCACCCCACACTGACCTCGTCACCAGCGCTGCTCTGCTCTCTTCCTCCCTGCTCCTCACTTTCTCCCATGGTGTCCACAGCACCTTGTGTCCTTGATGTCCCCTAGTCTTCCGGACCCCATGGCCTCTCCACCCTTCTGTCCTGAGTGTATACCTTCCACCCTCAACCAGGATATAGACGCTTCAAGACATGGGAGAGAAAAGAAAGTTGTTTTCCTGTTTTATCAAGTGAGTCTGTAAGCAGTCTGTAGGCCCAGATATTCCTCGTAGGTCCCCAGCGGACTCCCCAAGGGCCCTCCACCAGGCCCTCCCTTGTGTTTTGTTTTGTTTCTGTTCCTGTCAGAGGGGACGAGTTGCTGGGCACATCAAGCCTGGCTGTGTGGCCTGACGTGAGACCAGAGCCAGGACAGAGGGCCACATCCATGGCTCGGACCCAGAGCCCTCACCGAGGTGCTTCCACAGTGTCCACAGGTGACAGAGAGGCGAGCGTGTTGTCTAGAATGACCAGAGGCTTCAGGGTGACGTGAGACGCTCGTGAAAAAACACAGTGAATTTTCTCATCCTGGCGACCTTGGCCAGGCCTGAGTCCATGTTATGCAACCCTGTCTACCTTAAAGGATGTTTTTTTATCTCCAGCTGTTGTGAGCATGTTTTCCAAAAGGAAACACATTTCACTTGACCTCGGCCGGGGGGGCCTGTTGCATCCTCTCTTCTCAAACTCCCTTCCAGTGTGTGTGTGTGTGTTCAGTCATTTTTTTTTTTAACCTTCCCAGAAAGAAGACTGGCCTATGCACAAGCTGGAATGTTCTCCCATGGTTGTTTTTGGGGAAAACTGGAGCCCTTCCGAGACTGTAAGGCTCACAGCAAGGATCCTGGCCAAACAGGTGAGGGCACGGGATGCTGTTCAAGTGCATTTTATTTTGTTTTTGTTTTTTCCTTAAAGGTCAGAGGGATGAGGAACTGGCCTGTGGTGGTCATTTCTTGCTGATCCCTCTTGGACGCCATTCCCCATCACGTCCACGTGGACGGGGCTGGGAACGGAGCTCAAGTGCAAGCCGGTCGGTCACGTGCCCTCTGCAATAGGACGTCGCTTAGCCCAGGCCAGGAGCGGGGCCACAGCCATTAAACCATGCGCTTTTCCTATGAGACAGGGTTACATGGAAAAATATGGCTTCTCAAGGCACGAACACTGGATTGAAAACAATTAGTGCATCTTAGGGAACCAGACTGGCCTGCGAAGTACTGAGGTTTCCCTCTCTCCTCGTGACTCAGAGAGGGCCCCTGTGCCCCCTCCCGGTACAGTGTTCTGCCCTTCCTCTCTCCTTGCTGCCCTGTCTAGGCAGGTTGGGTGGAACAGAGCACCAGAGGGGCATAGGCAAAGGAGAGAGAAAGGAGCGGGCAAGGAGAAGCTAGGGGAGCACAGCGGTTGACAACAGTTTCCTCCAAAGATGATGCCGGGCCTGGCTGTTCCTCCTTGTTTGCTCAGTGCTTACTGATTACACGTTAGCGAGATGCCTGATCTCCAGAGGACTGAGCTGAGAAGAGCAGACAGAGCCACCGGGACCTGTCCTTGTGACACAGTGAAATAGGCCACGGGGGGCCCACAAGCTGTTTTTGTCCACGGAGCTGCTCGCTAATAAGCAGTCGGTAGCAGAGCCTGTGGACTATAAATCTATTTTTTTAAAATTTATTTTTAGAGAGAGGGAAAGGGAGGGAGAAAGGGAGAGAAACATCGATGTGCGAGAGATACATCGATCCGATGCCTCTTGCACACCCCCAACTGGGGACCTGGCCTGCAACCCAGGCTTGTGCCCTGACTGGGAATCAAACCGGCAACCTTTCAGTTCACAGGCCAGTGCTCAATCCACTGAACCACACCAGCCAGAGCTAAGTCTTTTAAAGCTGAAATTTCATCCACCTCTTCTTTATGCACCCCCCCCCCTTTTATAACTTTTTTAAAAATCTAAGCCAAATGTGATCTTAATGATTGGCACATACCTGACCCCAGACTAAGTTGGGATCCTGGGCCGTGTAAACAGAACCAGGTCATTTCCGAGCTCTGAGCTCACCGTTCCGTTATGTCCCGATGGGATCAGGTGCTCGTTGAAATGCCACTGCGCCTGCCCAGGGAAACCAGAGGCACTCAGGGCGCCTGCCGCAGGAGGTGGAGTGATCAGACTTGTATCCCTGGAGGAGGTTAACTCTGGGGTCCTAACAATTATCCTTAAATATGTGCAGAGTACTTGGTCAGAAGGAAAAAGTAGAGGGAACTGGTGTGACTTGGGGAGGTGTCCGGGTAAATAAGCCATCCACTTAGAACCCTGAGCACCCGGGGAGGGTTGGCTGACCCAGCTGCTCGCTCCCCCCACCTCCCACCCCGTGATGTTATTTATAGTGTTCCGGTTAAGAATTCAGAAGAAGCTGGTGTACTTTCCTGAATGAAAAGCTTTCCCAGGCAAAATGAACTACTAATCTTATAGAAACCTGCCCCGTGAATGGAAGATTTCTGCTCCCAAAAGGAACTATTGAAATGTTCCCGCGCCAGGAGGCTCCTCAGAATGCTATGATGAGTTTGTACCAGCTTCATTCAACTTTTATTATAATTACTGCGACGACTAATAGTCTATTAAATGAAAAGTTACCTGGCCACATTTTCATCTCTCTGGGACGTGATGATTAAAAAAACAGACCATTTGTATTCCAGTAGCTTGCAAAGGATTAGGGGAGACAGGCCACCCAACTACCAGGGGGAAGCTTAACATGTTAACTAGAGAGGTGAGAGTGCCCTGCTAAGACCACCTGTATCCCCAGATTGAATAGCCAGATGACAAAGACGTGCCTCGGGCCAGCTCTTGAGCTCTGCTTTTGAACTCTTGTCAACACCAAGTTTATTCATGTCCTCAAAGCCTGGTGGGTTTAGTATTGTTAGCGCCTCTCGGGATGCCTAGAACAAAGGCAGCAACACATTTAAAGCGAATCTGGGCTCACAGACACAACCCAAAGTGTTCCCTTTGAAACTCAGAATCGGAGATCATTTTAGCTTATGCTTAAAGAAAGTGTAAAATGGATGGGGGGTTTGATTTTGTTCCTTTTCAGAAGGAGAAATAATCAATAGGATGGTTCATCTGTAGACTCAGTCCTTTTCAAGTCGGGGCCCTAAAAAGTTGTTTTCCAGCCACGGTTCTTTCCCATAACAAGCATTTCTGAGCCTACTGTGTGCATAGCATTATCGGGGTGTTGGGAACACGGCAGACGCTTTAACAAGCTTTTCAAAGGAGTCTTTGGGGTTTGGACCTTGGGCAGATATGCCCAGAGCCCCCCAGTGGTGGCTTCTTGGAGGGCTTTCTCCACTTCACAGAGAACTGTTGTTTTTCCTTCATGTAAAAGTGAAGGCGCATTTTGCCCTGGTCGCTAAGATCTGTAACTGTGGGATTTCTTCCCCAATTACTAGAAAAGCCACCCAGAGAGGACGCCTTCAGAGAAACTGCTAGCCGTGAAGGAGTTCGAATCCCGTAAGTTTGTTTCTGTGACCGGCTGAGGGGTCATTTTACCTCCACATTCAACGTGGTTGGGGCAGGACTGGAGACAGGAGCGGACAGTGTGTCTTCGTGCTGCTGGTGGTTTTATAATTAATCGCTTTTATTTGGACTTATGTGCTCATTTGAAAAATGACTCACTTTTTTGTCTGAGTTGACGGGATTACTAGCAAGTAATTAAGGGGAAGGAGGGGCTCTCAGAATGAATGGTTGCACCCCGAGCTCGCTCCTATGTGCCCTCCTGGCACACAGAATATTTTTGGATCTTTGCTGAATTGCAACCCTGCAAACAGCTGATGTCCTTAATGAAAGACGTTAAATCAGGAGCTCTCCATCTTCTCGACCATGACCCAGACTGCAAGGCCAGCATAGGGGTAGTGACAGGGGCTTGAGCGGCCGGGGGCTGAAGCTACTTCTCAGTCTTCACCACGCGTCTCCAACCCGGTTGCTAATTTCTTGTCCTGAGTGACTTCCGGTTGTCAGAGGAAGAGAAGAAGGAAGTGGCATGCTTCTCTTTCCCTCGGGTTCATCAGTTAGACCAGGTGATGGGCAAGAATATTTGGGGGGCGGCTCCACATATTTTTCCCTCTCCCCCCTGCCATTTGTAGTAAGAGAAATCCGGAGTTTTCTCCCTGGCGAACAATGGTTTGTCCCTCCGCAGATCTGGATAAACTAGACAATGAGAAGAAGGATTTGATTCAGAGTGACATTTCCTCTCTCCATCGCTTTTACTCCAAGCACCTCGAGTTCCCCGACAACCAGAGCCTGGTGACGCTCTTCGCACAGGTAAGGACGCAGCCCCAGGTGACGCCGGGTGTAGCTTTTCCTGCCTGAGTACCTGTCCCCAGCGCACACTCAGTGAAGGGGACAGAAACAGAGGGACGGCCTCTGTGAAGAGAAGGTTCTGGACCTGCCGCACCCTGTCTCGCACGGCCTTGCTAGGTGACCTTGAGCATGTCAGGGTCGGCTCTGGATGGGCCGTGGAGCTGATGCAGGGAGCTCAGGAAGTTGACCCTCCCTCTGCCTCTTGTCCCAGGAAGAGTTGGTGAGAACAGACTTGTGGCCAGCACCACGGCCCACAGTAGCTCTTTGAAAAGACCACTTGCGGGTCCTACGTGAATCTTTACTTTTCTTCTCTTAAACCTTCCATTCTGAAAGCAGTGTTTTCCATTCCGTCCAGCACAGTCCTGATAAAGCAGAGGCCAACACAGATGCCCTCGAGGCAGAGGCCCCTCTGACAGCTCTGGGGGGCGCCCCGGTGGGCCTGGGCACCAGGAGCCTTGTCAGAAACCTCTGGAGAAGCCTAGGTTTACCAAAAGCTAATTTAATACAGAATTAAAGAAGTTTCTAGACAAGAGCAACTTCTAAGCAATCGCAGAACTGAAAAGCAGCCGTGCGAAGGCTGAGGCCGGGTTCATGTACAACAGAGAAGCACGTGCAGCCGGCAGCCACATCTTCCTGAGACCTGGAGGGTGGCCCTTCCTGACACACCCGCCACGTGGGATTTCTCTCCCTAATACACTTGTGTTTTCGCCTGCAAGCTGCACATGTGTCTGAAGGTGACCTTCCCAGAGAGAGAAACACTGGAGTACACTGCTCCAGGGTGAACCCTCGTCTCTAGGTATGTGATAGAGCTTGGGTGGAAACCCACACATTGTCCCTAGACCAGAATAAGCATCGCCCGTGCACCCCTTGACTCCTCGACTCCATTTCCAGGCTTGCATCCCAAGGAAGCAATCAGAGACTGTGGGCGCAGGGGGGCCTGCAATTTTTCTTGTTCTCTTTAAGACCAACAAAAGAAGAAAAGAAAAAGGAAATATTATAAATGGCCACTGGTAGGAGTCTGGTGAATCAATGATGGCCTATACTGTAAGTTATATTTTAAAGAATGTATGAAGACATGGAAAACCATCAGTGATACAACATTAAGTGTAGAAGCAAGATAAAAATGTGTCCTGAGAATAGGCAAGCATATGTGAGGAATGAGTAAGTGGAAGTTCACAGTTGGTCCTCTCCTGAATTGTGGGAAATCTGTGCTTTTTTTGCTGGGTGATTTTCTAGATTTCCTACAATGTGCATGTAGGAAAACACAAAAGAGATGAAAAAGCACCCACAATTCTCCCACTTCAAAAATTACGCACAGGAAGGCAGAGGGAGTCCTTAACCCCCAGGGGTACGACTGTTCGCAGTGTGAGGGCTTCCTTGGAAAACAGATGTGTTTCTATTGTGTGACCGTCAATTAGAAAACAAAGCTGTTACTCACTCATCCAGTGCAAAATGGGTTCCAGTTATGACTATGAAAGTAGTAATAATGAAAACCTTCCTGTTTTTTATATTATCATGATTTGCAACATACTTTTCTAAGCATCCTAAAACAGTGGATTTTGGGGCCAATGGGAAGTTGAGGTATTGACTTCCCTTACATTGTTTTTAAATACAAGGTAAGTGACTTTTTTTCAGGATTAGATGAAGCATGGTTATGTGAGAGAGCAAAAGAGATGAAATAAATAAAAGTATCTTCTCCTCACTTCTGGCTGTGAAAAAAAAAAGATAACTTTTCCCCGAAGACAGCAGTGCATGCTGATGGGACCTCTCAGTGGTGACAGAATAGATAAGGGACCATGTTTTCATAACCAAAACTCAAGGCGCTTGATCCCATAAGCAGAAGAATATTCATGGTGAAAATGACCCAGAGTCTTCGACTTTTGAGCTGACTCAGAAAAATCTAGGAGACAGATATAAATAGATGTGCACACACACAACCATAGGTAATTCACTCCTTTACAGACCTCATATTCATCCAATCATAATACCCAGGATATTATGATTGGATGAATCTCAGCATCCTGAGATGGTGTATACACACAAATACACACCCACATCTTTTTCATATGTAAATTTGGAAAGGGACATTCAGTATCCCCCCAAAGAAAACTGTAAAGCAAAAATGACAGGTGCTGTCCCAGCCTCACACCACACTATGGCCCTGCCTCTCAGCCCCCAGCTGCCTGTCCACTGTCCCAGCCTCTGAGCCCGCTGTTTGTCTCCAGGTCCTACCCCGTGGCCCAGCCGCAGCTGGCAGTGGAAGGTGCTGTCCTCCGTCCGCAGCACGGAGGTGTGTTCTACTCACTGGGAACATGAGCATGGTCGGAAAGTGTATTTTTGGTGTGCAGCCTACATCTGGTCTGAATGCTAATTATGAAAATAGCTTTGGCAAGGCATTTACGCCTGATTTGACTTGAAAAAAGGGACTATGGCCTGTGCATCTTTCTTAACACCCAAATTCACGTTTCTCCTCCTGGGATATTTCAGAAGGCAGGGAAAGCTGACAGGAAAATCACTGAGCAATTTGGCTTAAACGCCATCACCGCCTGCAAGGAAGGAGCGGTGAGGACTGTGCTTCTAGGAGCCTCTGCTCAGGAAGATGCAGGCTCTGGCCCAGCGAGCGTGGGAGGGTGGAGGGAGCAAAGCGCCCCGTGGTCAGAGAGCCTTCCATCCCGAAGGCATTTGGAGGTGTGGGCTGGTCCGGTTGAGCTCCATGCAGAGGAAGAGACTGAGAGGCAAAGGAACAAATTTCCCAGCCCTCCAAGTTTTACCTATTGCTAGGTCAGTTTTGAAAACCGTCCATCGCTCAGTTGTCTCATTCATTCTGCAAACATTTACTGTCGTCTTGTGGGTACCAGACACCGCCAAGGCATGTGAGTGTCCAGTCCAAGGCTGCATATATCAGTAGATCATTCAGTACTTACTTAGGTGCTCCATGTCCTGTATGTAGTTTATGTCCAAGGCATTTTGTTGAATGAATGAAAATCCTAATGAAATTCTTACCTAATGTTGATTGATGGCCACTGCTTAACAGTACTTAGTCAATGCCCCGATGACAGAATAGGTTAGGATATTGAAGTTGGCACGAAAAACAATGGTCTGCCAAGTCATCTACATAGAAATGCCCCACACCACAGGGTGTGGAAGATTGTATTGTTCTACTGACCCCCCAGCAACCTCTTTTCATGTTGAAATGGTAAGTACTGATTGTAAATATGTTGAATCGTAAACACTGTAAATCAAAGCCATTATAGCTTTTACTTCTCTGTGTACCAAGATCCCCAAGCCTTTGACAGTTTTTTAAGTAAAATCACCACGTTAGCATTCACGGATCAGAGCGATTTTCAGAGAAAATTGGTATAGTGTAGAGAAACACATGTGTTTCCGACAACTTGGCTGTCAAAGTGTCTAACTGGAATTCTGACTCCTTGTTTTCCCCACTTGTTACGTATGTGGCTTTGACCAAGTTACTGAATCACTGACCTCCCTGAGCCTCAGTTTCCACATCTGTGAAATGGGTTTTGCCAGAGTAGCACTGCGGACGTAAGAGGGGGTAAAAATGCAGCACCCAGCACAGGGCCTGGCCCAGAGTAAGTGTTCTGAGGGTGCCAGTTCTCAAAAGCCCATTCGTTGGCCTGAGATGTACCAGTGCGGTGTCTCCTGTGTGGGGGAGCCCGGTTCCTACCCTCCCCCCACCCCCCGGGTTAAATCCTTCCCTAGGCGCCCCTGCCCAACAGCCTTCCTAGTGTCTTGGGAGGAGCAGGGTTCTCTGCTTTAGGTGCTGGCTGTGGGCACGTCGCTGCTCCTCCCCAACCTCAGTCTCGCTGTCTGAGAAGTAAAGAGTCTGAGCCCCCTTCTAGCTCTGAAACTACGTACAAATGAAAGCCCCCCCCCCCCCCCCCCCCGCACTGTCTGCCAACAGACTGGGTGTTTCTTTTTTTTTTTATTTTATTTTAATTTATTTTTTTTAAATTGATTATGCTGTTACAGTTGTTCTATTCCCCCCTTCATTCCCCTCCACCCTGCCCCCCCATCCCCACCATTACCCCCCCTTTAGTTTATGTCCATGTGTCTCAAGTCCTTTAGGTTCTATATTTCCCATGCTATTCTTGCCCCCCCCATCTATTTTCTATCTACTGTCTATGCTACTTATTTTCTGTACCTTCTCCCCCCATCTCCTCCTCCCACTCCCCTGTTGCTAACCCTCCTTGAGATCTTTATTTCTATATTTCCACTCCTGATCTAGCTGTTCTTTTAGTTTGCTTTCGTTTTAGGTGTGGTTGTTAATAACTGTGAGCTTGTTGTCCTTTCACTGTTCATGTTTCTTTAACTTCTTTTCCTTAGATAAGTCCCTTTAACATTTCATATAATAAGGGCTTGGTGATGATGAACTCCTTGAATTTGGTCTTGTCTGAGAAGCACCTTATCTGTCCTTCCATTCTAAATGAAAGTTTTGCTGGATAGAGCAATCTTGGTTGTAGGTCTTTAGATTTCATGACTTGGAATATTTCTTTCCAGCCCCTTCTTGCCTGTAAGGTCTCTTTTGAGAAATCTGCTGACAGCCTGATGGGGACTCCTTTGTAGGTGATTGTCCCCTTAGCTCTTGCTGCTTCCAGGATTCTTTCCTTCATTTTAATTTTGGCTAATGTAATTATGATATGCCTTGGTGTGTTTCTTCTTGAGTCCAACTTTTTTGGTACTCTCTGGGCTTCTTGGATTTCTTGGAAGTCTATTTCCTTTGCCAGATTGGGGAAATTTTCTTTTATTATTTGTTCAAATAATTTTTCCACTGGTGGTTGTGTCTTTCCCCCTTCTGGTACCCCTATAATTCGGATATTGGAGCGTTTAAAGATGTCCTGGAGGTTCCTAAGACTCTCCTCATTTCTTTGAATTCTTGCTCCTTGACTCTTTTCTGTTTGGCCATTATTTGGTTTCTTCTGGTCCACTGCATTGATTTGAGTCCCAGTTTCCTTTTCATCTCTATGGGTTTCCTGTGGAATTCCATTCATTTCCCTTAATTTAGCCTTCATATGTTTCTCTAATTTGTGGCTATAATCCACCAGATCTGTGAGGAAGCTGATGACCAGTGTTTTAAACTGTGCGTCTGAGAGTTTTGCTATTTCTTCGTCGCTTGGATTTATCTCTGGGGCTTTGAGGTCTTCCTGCGACATTTTTGGTCTGTTCTGGCCCTTTAAGTGGGGAGAAGCGGCGCCTTGGACTCCCAGGTCGCTGGGTTGTGACGCTGTATGTGGGGGCGTGGTCAGAGCGGGGAAATGGCGGTGCCCTCTATCGCCGCGGCTGGTCCAACCGCCCACTCCCTCGCTCGCTTGCAATCAGGCAACCGCAGTCGACACGCTGCACCGCCTCCCCACTGTCTCCTCTGCAGTCGCTCACCCGGTGGGTCACTCGGTCGCTCACCAGGTCCAATCCTGTGTCTGGAACCTGCGCGTCCGGATTCGCGCGTCTGGATTCCGCGCCCGAGTCCGACCGAGCCCTCCTTTGCAACTCCTCACCAGACGCCGGTTTCGCTCCTTACCGGTCGGGCTGAAGAATTTGTTGTTAGCGGACTTCCGAAAAGTTCAGTTTTCCCTGTTCTGGTTGTGTTTTCTGATGCTAATATTTAGTTGTCCCTAAACTTGGTTGTGTGAGAAGGTACGGCACATCCACCTATACCTCCATCTTGGCGGAAGTCCCAGACTGGGTGTTTCTTGAGGGCACAGACTTGGGCATATTCAGCCTTTGGGAGCAGCGCCCAGCTCATAAAAGTTCTTGATGAGTTCGGAAAAAAAATGCATTTGTGGAGCAACATAAAACCGGGGGTGTATATTCCTGCTAGTGCTAGGGAAGCTTTCCCATGTGGGCTTCCCTTGGCTTTTTTCAGTGTAACATCTTGTTTCAAGGACGGGCAAGTGGCCGGTGGTTGGTTGGGCTGGCAGTGAAGGAAGGTCTCGGCTCCTTAGTGCCAGGCCTCCCTGCCTCTCCAGGGGCGGACAGTTACATCAGCCGTATCAAGTAAGGGATTTCCTATTCACCACTCCTCCTGAGGAGGTGGGCACCACACTAAGTGACTTCTTTTTTAACGGGAGAAATTGAGGACCCGGGACTCAGAGGTAGGCTCAGGATCATACTGCAGACCTGGGGCATAAGGGGATTGGACTCCGGGAATACCAACCCCGTTCAGATATGCAGACTTCAGCCCTTGGCCCTTGGCGGTCTGCCGTTGGGGGGCGACTGGGTGTAGGTGGGTAGGGTGCCAGGCTAAGGGGGCTTCCCCGAGAGTCCTGCTTTTATTTGCTTATACAAGAGCCTGATGGGTAAAGTTTTGTTTGAACAAGGGATACTTGGCCAAAAGAAAGGTTTTAAAGTCACTAAACCAGAACTTCTTCCTCATTAATTTGTTAAAGGTCCTCATTAACGAAATGATTTCTATCCAGACAAGATTACACTCATTTTTTTCTCTCCCCTTCTCACCGTAGGTTAACTGCAATGGCTTCACAATTGAAGACGAAGAACTTTCTCATTTGGGATCAGCAGTATTCCCTGAGTAGGCTGGGTTTGACTTCACTTCTTTTCTTTTTACTTATTTCACACTCATTTGATTTTTTTAAGAAAATAACCTGACTAACTGCATGTGTCAGACATGAAACTCTAAGTGAATTAAGACCCCTTTTTAATTCCACCAGATGTCAAAATGCTTCCCCTACATTTAAGGATTCAAAGGTAGTTGTTAAGAGAACAGTTACTTGTTAAGTCCCGCTAGGTCGAGAGCTGTTATTAAAGAATATTTTAGAGTGTGCCCTGCTGAGAAATGTGCTTTTTTGCATACCCGTGGTTATGGAAATCTCCAGGTTTCTTGCACTCAGAATGAAACATTAATTGCCCACCAACAATTGGCCATAGGCTTCCGTGAAGAACACGGGAGCTGCTTCCGCACCTGTCCTGCGTGGACATACCTGCGTGGACGCGTCACAGCCTGGAGAGACAGCACACTGTGGCAGTGTACCGGGAGGCAGTTTCAGAGCCCCGTGGTTTTCCTTACTTCAGGAACACTGAAGTAACTCAAGAAAGGCTAGCCAGTTGACAAATGGAGATCTTTATAGCTCTGACCTGAGTGGATCTCCGAGAATGGCTTTGCCATTGTCTTTTGGGTGCAATGAGTACTTTCAAAATGCCCCAGTGCCCCGAAGTCAAGCCCTGGCTTCACAGATGGAGCAAAGGAACCTTCCTGCATCCCCTGTCTGAACTCATCCACGTGGGAGATGAGTTCTGGCTAAAGCGACATTGCTTAATATTTATTTACTGCAGAGGCCTCGGGCTTTGGGTTGAAGCAGTTGCAGGACACCTGACACCCCCACCCCGCGTGTGCGTGGGTGATGTGTGGGCTCCTGGGGTGTCTGGCTGGTGTCACCCAGCTCTGTGCTGCACACGGGGCCGAAGGACAAAGAATCTGCACAAGTCCGAGTCTCCTGAGCAGCTGTCACGGGCTTCCCTGAACCCCAGAAACAAAGCGTTTACTCCCACAGTAACACAGTGTCGCCTGCAGTTTTCTGAAGTCCAACAGGGAGGAAAGAAGTGTTTTTGGGAAGAAGCTTTTTTGTACTTCTGCCCTTGGGGAAAGGAAAGAGAAGAAGAGAAAGGCCGTGAGACCCTCTTTAGGGGGCTGGTGTTCACACCATCAGGCCGGAAATGAACTTGAATGGCTCTTCTTTCGGCTTCTTGAGTAAGACTAGAAATAGGTGCGGAGCGGTATTGTCTGAGGTTGCAGCGTTTGCAGTGATTGCCAAGAAAATGACCACAAGAGCAGGAGTTGTTTTAGGTTCTTTGCCTTTAGTTCACCCCCTCACCTTCGTTAAAAAGATGTCGAGCAGTCTGTCTTGAACAGGAACACTTAATACTTCTTCTGCAGGATGGTTCTAGAAGTCTGCTCTGCCATCACTAATGACTTTTGGTGCACTTGTCGATCGGATTTCCTGGGCCCCCATCCCCCGTGTAGCACTTGCCAGCCAGCAGGATGGGCTGGAACTCGTGGTGTGGGTGGCCCGCCCCAAGGCCAAGACAGGGAGGTTGCTGCGTGCTGTCCCAGGTTCAAGGTGAGCCACAGACTTCACTCAGCCCTCTAAGCAACTGGGCAGTGGAGGAGAGCTGTGCCCCACCCCCTCCTCCGCCAAACCACAGGCAGCTCATCCTCGGCCGGCCTCGCAACCCCCTGTGTCTTTTTCAAGTTTCGGGGCAAACAGGAGAGGGGTTTTGGTGGCTGAGGGTTCAGGCAAGTGACAGTGGCCACCAGGGCAGCGGTGTGGGTGGACGTGAGTGCCCACATGAGCCCCAGTTTCCAGGCCGATTTAATTGGGGGAAAAAAATCCCTCCGGACTGAAATCAGTTCGGCATTGTGATTTCAAAGGCAGCATTTTCAGAGATCAAGCATTTTCCCCCTGTAGTTTAGAAATTTCTGTTCTCAGAACTTTGACCTTGATATAATCAGAAAGCTCAAAGCCCCTCGCACAGGCGAGTCTCTCTGTCCCTGCCGTCCCTGAAAAGCAGACAGCGAGCAGCAGGTGCAGCTGTGTCCCAATTTTCCAGATGAGCAAATTGAGGTGCCGAGACTCCAAGGGGCTCCTCCAGGGCTCTGGGGGGTGGATCACAAGCCCTCACTTAGGCAGCCGGCACCTCCCCCGGGGGCGGCTTCTCCACATCTGAAGAAAACGTGTTAGAAATCATCTACTAACATAAAAAGCGGCTTGGAAATGACCACCCGTTCGCCTTGCACAGCGTACGGTGGGTAGCGGTTCGCTGTGGGTGTCGGATTGTAAGTCCTCCACTGAACAAGGAGACATTTCTGTGGGATTTGTTATTGTTGCTGTTTTTGTTGCCGGGTGTTTTTTGTTTTGTTGGCTTAGGTATCACCATTTTGAATGGCACGTTTCACTTTTCAGTATTGTGAACATTTAGGATGACCGATGCATACGGAAAAAGCCCGTAGGACGGCCAACTATTAGGGGTTTTTGCTCATGTCCTGCAACGTGGCTGTGAGTTGGCAGGTGAGCAGCCCGGGATGTACCTGGACTACGTCACTGAGTAAACAGGGTTTTCTCTTCTGCTTTACAGCGTCGCACTGATGAACCACAGCTGCTGCCCCAATGTCATTGTGACTTACAAGGGGACCCTGGCAGAGGTCAGAGCCGTGCAGGCGATCAGCCCGGGAGAAGAGGTGAGTGCGTGGCCGGGGTGGCCGGGCCGTGTGCTTCAGACGGCTGTTTTCAAAGGCAGGGCAGGAAAGTCGAGGGACACGCAGGACGGGCTGGGGGTGGCCCAGTGTCCCATCCTCCGGCCTCCCTGGGCCAGTGTACACATCTGTGATGCAGGACTGGGTGTCCCATGCATTCGGCTTCCGTTTGGTGGCACTTCCATCCCAGAAAAAAACAGGACAGAATAAACTGGAGCGAAACTCCTCGCAGAGATTTGCAGAGAAAGGGGTCGGCCAACGTGGCCAGGATGAAATTTTAGATTGCCGATACAGTCTGTGTATTCCTATTGCCAAGTGATGGAGTTTGAGCTTTTGTTTTTTTAATTAGTGAATTTGGGCCTGTTTTTTTCCTGACTCCCCCAAAGGTCAAAAGCACTGTTATTGAAAAGCAAAAAAGCAGCCCAGCAGTTGCTGCCAAGTTACAGCTGCAAATGCTGAGTCAGCGCTTCGAGTCCTCTAACATCCACCTCTGAACTTGGAGAGTTTGCTTTTTAGGGACGTAGTTCGGGTGGCCGGTTGCATACACCCTGCCAGGGCCAGGAGAGGCCATCTGTGGCCAGGAGAGGCCCCAGCAGCTCCCCTCCCGACACAGGGGTGCAGAGAGAACCGTGTGCTCCGTCACTGCTCAGAGCCCCCTTGTCCCTTTCCCCACTGTGACTCCGTGACCACCTCATAGATGGCTCACTTTAACAAGGTCGACCCAGCAGATTGCTTAGGGAGGCTCTGTGTTCTTACGTAAATAGTACAAAATAAAACAAACGCATTCTTGGAGATCGCAGTTACACCTTTCTATTACACTGCAGTTCAGTAATCTTTGATACCGCGCTGAGGTGCGCGTCTGGGATTTCAGTGTGAAAGGCAGTGGTCAGTGCGCTAAGTGAGGGAGGCCTCAGCCCCTCGGAGGCTGTGAGCTGACCCTCAGCCGAACCGAGATGTCCTTCTGTTTGCTAAACTTACCACAACGAGGGGATTGTGCTCAGGGATGGAACGTCTGGGTTTCCGAATGTCTGGTGGAGACCACCCAGGTGCCTTTTCGGTGAAAGCAAACACGTGTAGAGAATGTTAAGGGACCAGGCCCCAGTGCTCCCTAGGCTGACTGGAGGCCAGAGCCCTGTGCGGTCACCCAGACTGGCTGTCTGCGCCTGCAGGGACACTGAGTGGCCTTTGTCGCCATCTACTGGGCTCATCTATTTGTTGCGTGATGTGACCCTCGTCTTTTCAAAGGGCGGCAAGAGGTTCCTGCCACATGCCTGGCAGGGCTTGTTCTGTTGGTGTGCGCTGGGTGTGCCCTCATGCACTCTCAAAAATCTGAAATGCAGCAGCCTCGTTTGGGGGAAGGCGCTGCTTTGGGAGAGATTCGACCTTCAATGAGGAAGAAACCTACTGCCCCTGGCATCGAGGAGCCGCGAGGCCTCTGCTACTGCCTTTTGGGGTGCAGAGAGCTTGGGGGCCCCTGCAGGTGCCCCTTCCTGCCTGCCTGCCATGCCTGAGGTTCCTGGCAGGCTGATGGCTTTGCGACATCCATCTGTGCAGTCAGACAGTTGCTTGATGGTGTGGGACGCACAGCGAAGCCATCCCAGTGAGTGGATAACGGACAGTTAAATGTCGGGCTCGTCCATATGCTCCAATCCTCAGTTACAGACCTGGGTAGAAAACGCAGAGGAGCAAGGATGGGAGACCCTGATGAGCCCACGGGGAAGGCTTTTCCTAGTTCTCTGGCCTGGCTGGGTGAGGCAGCAGCATGCTCGCGTCCTTGGTGTGCTCAGAGCCGTGCCCTCTCTCTGCGACTGGCCCCAGCCTGCCCAGCCGAGCTTCTGCTGCACTGCCAGCAGGCAAAGGAGAAAGGGAGACACGTCAGTAATGCATCTGAGCCGTCCCCGCTCGCTCGCTTGTGCAGTAGGAGCAGGCAGGCAGAGCCAGCCTGGGGCCAGTGCCCCAGTGAGCAGGGCCTTTGCCCAGGGGTCTCTGCTTCTGTCCAGGAGGCGAACCCCAGCTTGCCCTCTTTGAGGGGGAGTGGGCGGGGTTGCTTCCAGTGCTCCAGTCTCCTGTGTCAGGGACTCCTGTAGGAGGTGGGACAAGAAGCCCTTTGTCCCTGCCACAAGGAGGAGGACAGCACCGGGGGTCGCTGCGTGTCAGCGTGCTAACCCTGCGCTGTGGCGTCCTCTGCGTCTGTCCCTGCAAGGGCACCACCGCAGGTGTGCGCAGAGCCACGGGAAGGGGAAGGAGGCAGCTGACCTGAAGCAGACTGCAACGTCCACTCTTTGGGCCCCCCAGGTTTTCACCAGCTACATCGACCTCCTGTATCCCACAGAAGACAGGAATGACCGGCTTAGAGATTCTTATTTCTTCACCTGCGAGTGCCAGGAGTGCACCACCAAGGACAAGGTAAGCTCCCCGAGAGCGCTTACGGCAAAGGCGCTGGCCGTCCGCTGTGTCTTGGGACCTCTCTGCCAAACCACCATCCCCGTGTGACTCGGGGTGTCTCCACCCCCTGCATTTCTGACCCTTTCAATCCACCTAACCGAGATGGTCGCAGGGAGGCCAGGCCTCTGTCCAAACCCGATGAAAACGTTTCTGTGATGCCGTACCAAGCAGAGAAGCGTTTGCCTAGCTGCTATTTCTTGAAGAGAAATGACTGGTCACAAGAGAGGGAAGCACAACTCTCAAGCTTCCCACCCTGTTCAGAATGGGCAGAATTTTCTCTGGCCTCTCCCAAATTTCTCTGTCAGTGCCATCCCTCCTTATTCTATTCTTTTGATTCAAAGGTCTCTGAACACACATATCTGCCCATAGCAAACACATTCTAGGTTCCCTGCCTAGATGCAGATTGTCTAGAAAGGGGGGGGGGTGGTGTGTGTGTGTGTGTGTGTGTGTGTGTGTGTGTGTAAAGGGAATGGTATATTGAATTTCTCCTCAATCCTTCGCCTGATTTCCTTTCATCCTTCTGTAACTTGGCAGCGGGTGGGCGGCACCTCTGCCTGGCAGAATGTACTGTTTGAGAGGCTTCTGCATCCGTGTGGTTTCCCTGGGAGGTAACCCGTGCATTTGTGCACATTTCCCTCAGGATAGGGCCAAGGTGAAAATCCGGAAGCTCAACGATCCCCCAAAGGCAGACGCTGTCCGTGACATGGTCAGATACGCCCGCAACGTCATCGAGGAGTTCCGGAGAGCCAAGCACTACAAATATATCCTTTGCGGCTGGCGGGATGTTTCCCGCCACGAGGTGCTGGAGAATCAGGCAGAGGGAGAGGAAGGGTGGGCTTCAGTTGCTGTGTGTCGAAGGAAGCGGGTCTCCTGGTAGATGAGGGAAGCGGTACTGACCACTCATGACTTGAAATCAACCGTATCCGCTTATGATGTTGATCCCTTTCTTGTTTGGCCAGTTTGGTCAAGAGTGTAATGTGGTGGAAGAGTTTCATTGTCTAAAACTATGAAGAACAGCTCTTTGAAGGCGCTCATTTTGGGGGGTCTTCTACTTTGGGCACAGTGTCGAGGGCTTTGCTTATATTGTCTCACCTGATCCTTACAAGGACATGCCCCAGGTCATCACCCTGCATCAGATGGAAACAGAGTCTTGGATACCCAATAATTTGCCCGAAGGACACAGCTCCCCATGGCAGGTCCCACATCTCCGGCCACCGCTGTGCACGTTCCTAACTACTATGCTGAAGCATCTTGTCGGGTGTTGAAAAGGCAGTAGACTTATGCTAAGGGAAGAACTGAAGCCAGTGGAGGAAATCGGAGGAAGGCACATTTACTTCTCAGGATAAGAAAGAACTTACCTACGGTGGGGACGTCATCCTGAACAAAGCCTCCACTCCCCTTAGGTGAGGGTTTAAACGTACCAGGTTTCTAATCAACATTGTTTACAGCTGAACTGAGGGTCTGTGGTCTGTGCCTAAAATTGTTTCCTTGTGCTTTTTTACCAGTTGAGGTCATCAGATTTCCCTATTTGTTTCTTCAAGAAAAACTTGATTCCCCTTTTTTTTTTTTGGCTGACCTTCTGTAATTTACTTTTCCAGAGGGTGAGGGAATGGGTGGAGTGGACAAAATAACTCCTTGAACCCAGCCTGCCTTGGGAACTCTCCTTAGCCCAGTGGGCTGGCGGTCATTTCCTTGACTCCAGGGCACCCCCTAGCGAGCTGCTGGAGATTTGCGAGCTCAGCCAGGAGAAGATGAGCTCCGTGTTTGAGGACAGTAACGTGTACATGCTGCACATGATGTACCAGGCCATGGGCGTCTGCTTGTACATGCAGGACTGGGAAGGAGCCCTGCGCTACGGACAGAAAATCATCAAGCCCTACAGGTGATTGCCATGGCCCTTCTGATTGTCTCAGCCCTGGACGGCCCCTGGTGATTTGGAATGTGCATCTAGGCAGTTTTGTCTTCTCACTGTCCTGTGCTGGAAGGCGCCTAGACCAGCTTTCTCTTCCCTGCACCCGCGTCCGGAGGTGCAGGTGCAGGGCGCTGCTCCGGCGGGCCCTGCCTCCCCACTCCGCCACCTAGAAGAGACACCTGGCTTGGAAGGTTGAGGTTGTGCAGGGGTTGCCGGGGCCAGATCCGTCCCGGGACCTGCCCAGGTGCCCTACCCACTGTGGTTAATTCAGACCAGCACGAAAAAGCTGCCCGTTGGTTTCTGTTCCATCATTATTCGCACTGTCCCCTTGTGATTTTCTGAACTGCAGCCCAGTCTGCAGATGAGAAAACTCCGGGACCACTGGGCCGGCTGGCCGTGGTTACTCCATATCCTGCCCAGGTCCTGCTGAAACCAGCAGCCCTGGGGACTGGCAGCCTCGGGGAAGTTTCCTGCTGAGGGGGTTGGTAACCCTGACAGTGGGTTACAGGTGGAGGTTGTGGCGTGGCCCTCTGGCTCTGCGTAGGCACCTCGGGGTGGGGATGGCCTATCAGATTGCTGGGGTGCTGGCCGAGCACACCCACCCTGTTCGTGGACAGGGGCTCCTCCAGACGGAGGGGGTCAGAATCTTGGCATCAGACCTGAAACCCCAGTGTTCCAGAAGCACCCCAGTGTTTCTCAGGAATTTGAGAAGCCCTCTGTTTACGTTCTAAGATCAGGGATTGTTACGTCTGGTTTGGATGTCCACCGCCACGTTGGCCCTCTGCTTACCCCACACTGCCCTGATTGGCCAGAAGGGGGAGCCCAAGGGGAAGTGGCTCTTAAATTTTGCTCTTAGAAACAGAATCAGCTGCCTCGGGGATCATCTCAAAGCCTGTCCTTCTTCCCGGGGTGGGCAAGAAAGTCCTGGGGTCTCCTGCACCCCTTCCTCTGTGAGATCTGGAGGGAGGGAGGGAGGATGAGAATGAATGAGATCCTCTCCGCCTTGTGGTTCCCCTCCCAGCAGCAACTTGCTCTGTTGGACCTTCCTGTGCTAAGTGAGCCCCAGCTCTGGCCTTCTGGGGGGTTGGCACTGCCCCCAGGGCCTGGCCCCTACCCAGAAGTACAAGCAGACTGTGTCTCTTCTGGGTGGATTTTGAGGGTAGAGCAGTACAAATCAGGCTGTAAATAAACACCTCCTATACCCCCCGCCAATGCACACACACTGGCCCATGAGCCACCACCTCCTGGTCTCTGTCCCAGGGAAAGGCCCCCTTCCCAGGTGAGCCCCAGCCGTCTGTGAGCCGTCCGTCAGTTAAAACCTGGCAGCCAGTACCTACTGTATGTGTAATACAGCTCGCCGCTGAGCAATGCAGAGAGAATGTCTAGGAGGAACAGGAGGCATTCTCCCGACTCTGGGGAGCTGACAGTGTTGCTAAACTACCTGCTGTCACAGAGTGTGGTAGAAAGCTGGGGTCTTGAGACGTATTAGTGTGTGTATATTTTAAAGTAACGATCTTTTTAAAATGAGGGGAGAGGCCCAGTGTCCTCATGATGGGGAACTTACCCAAAAAGACAGTTTCCCAGTCCTCCGCTTCCGGGGCACCTAAAACAAAAATCTGGGACTGGGATCGAATGCTGTGTTGATCAACGCTTTTGAGTAGGATTTCCCTTGCCGCGTTTCTGGAGCTTTTCAGAAACACATTCTGTATAAAATGGGGTGCGTCCGTGGTGCTTAAACAGGATCGACCCATCCCCACTCTCCACCCAGACCTGCCACGGTTGGGAGAAGCCTGGTTGCCATGGAGACTGTGGCTTCCTCCCCTGGCCTGGCCTGTGGGCTGCCCTGCAGCCGTGGACCAGGCAGGCTGACCAGGCGGCCGCTGTCTTTTCTCTCCTCCCAGCAAGCATTACCCACTGTACTCCCTCAACGTGGCCTCCATGTGGCTGAAGCTGGGAAGACTGTACATGGGCCTGGAGAACAGAGCGGCCGGGGAGAAAGCCCTGCAGAAGGTATGTCTGTGGCATGGGGGACACGGGCTTTCGGTGCCTGGGTGGCCTCCTCGCCATTGTGTTGTTCTTCCCACAGGAGGCTACAAGGGGTGGCAGAGGCCCGCTCTTTGACCCCCTCTGTCCATACAAGTGGGAGGGGGTGGGTTGGCAGGTGGCGGTGGTGTCCTCGAGCCTTCGCCGAGCTGACGCCCAGGCCCATGTATAAGGAGAGGGGTGTGCAGGTTGTGGGGGGCCGGCCAACGGCAGGCTCCGCCCACAGCCTGGGGACCCCACTGCTGGGCCAGGGTGAAGCTGCGCTTGTGGACAGAGGCCACTGGGGGCGCCCAGGAGCCGGTGGTGAGGCCGTCTGTCTGCCCTTCAGGCTCACAGAGTCATGACGCCTTGTTGTGGGGAAGTCAAGGCAGTGAGACATGGAGCGTTTCCAAAGTGGACTTAATCATCGGCATCGCTGTCCGTTGAGTACCAATCACATGCCAGGACCGACGTGTGGTTTTTAATTCTTACCAAAATGAGATAGATTTTCCTGGTGAAGAAATTGCAATGCACACAGGTGAAGTAATTGGTCTCCGGTACATAGTAGTAGGCTCTTCATTGAAATTGGGATCTTTCTGAGTTGAAAGCTTCAGCTCCCCACCCCCACTCACGCTGTGACTAACACGCAGGGGAAACCAGGACACTGGGCAGCGTCTGCCCCCTCCCCCCCAGTGTTTGACAGCTGCCCGGTGCTGCCCGTGGACCCGGGGCCAGGCCCCGACCCTCACCTTACAGCAGCTGATTGGACCAACAGACGCTCATTGTCCTTTAGGTAGAAGTGAACAGTTGATAAGGGGTGATCTTTGGGACAGTCTCTTTATTCCTGTAAGAGAACATCGGTAAACGCCAGGGTCATTGACTAGCCTGGATGCCTAACCCTCCAGATCCCCCGAATCTTCCCTATTCAGGAAGATGGGAGTGATGTCCTGCATCCCACACAGGAGGGTCAGGGCCTCGCCAGGCTGGGAGTATGAGTGAAGCCTAATATTTCCCATTTTTAAACCAGGGAGTTTGTCTTCCACAATAACATAGTCATTGCCTTTGTGATTTGGGGGGAATTTAACCAGTTAAGTCACAGTTGAAAAGTGCTGGGAGCTAATGAAATACAAGATCAAAGAAGGGTAAAGAGCCCTGGCCAGTGTGGTTCAGCTTGTTGGAGCGTTGTCCAGTACACCAAAAGGTTGGGGGTTCAGTTCCCAGTCAGGGCACATACCTAGATTGCAGATTTGATCCCCCATTGGGGCAGGTATGAGAGGCAGCCGATTGATGTTTCTTCCTCACATGGATGTTTTCTCTCTCCCTCCTTCCCTCTCTCTCTAAAATCAATAAGCATAGTAAGAGAAAAGAAAAAGAGGAGTAGAGTAGATCTGAGCAAGGAACATGAGTCACGAAATGAATGCACAAGGTGAAGGAAGGCATCTAACCGGTGATTCCTCTTGGTTTGAGATCTGGGAAGAGAATGGTACAATAGGAAGGAGCGCTGTCGTAGTCACGGCCATCAGAGATTCCCTCTTGGGGAAAACAGGAGTAATTTCTGTTTTTCTATCTGTGATATAGTTGAATACGAAGAAGCAAAATAAATTCTTACGGGTGACATTTGATATATACTTTGCTATATGTTGGGCAGTATTCTAAACATTTTATGTGGGTTAACAATTCTGGGAGGTCAGCATCGTTCCTATTTTATAGATGAGGGCATTGGAGCACAGAGTGGTCAAGTCAGTCGCCTAAGGTCACACAGCTAGGATGTGACGGAGCTGCTGGCATCGCTCTCACTTTATATCCCCTCACTCTCAAGAACTCTTATTAAATGTGTTCTCTCGGTAGCATCCTCAAGTGCATCATGCATCTCGATTTTTTAGCTTCGTTTCTTTTAAGAGTATGTATGAAGAGGAAAGCATGCACTTTTTAAAAGGGGAAAACAGTTTAGTTGTATCTCATAGGTTAGTAATGTAACCTTCAAATCAGAACAGGTTTGATGTGAAGGTCACGGTCAACTTCCCTGTTCCAGCCTTAACTGTGTACTTGCTTGAGCTCAGCCAGGTGAGTCCGTCCCTGAAGCAGAAGTCAGTTTTTACTGAAATCTCTGGAAGAGTTGGGCAGAAATATCATGCAATCAGTTTCTCTATATCATCTCTTCAGCTCTTGCAGAATATTTCACTCAGTGGTAGACACTGGGTGACTCTTTGGTTCCTAAATAATCTTACCCTCTTTTTTCCTCCCTTTTGAAGCCAGACTCCGGAGGAGAGCACAGGCTCTGAAAGCCAGTTTGCAGCCCGTGCGTTAAAGCAGGGAGTCCACCTTGCACGCACGGCAGCCCAGGTGGAGGTGTGCGGGCCCTGGCTTCCGGCTCCTAACCCTTGGCGTGTCTTGCTCTCTCCTAGGCCATGGCGATCATGGAAGTGGCCCACGGCAAAGATCACCCGTACATCTCCGAGATCAAACAGGAAATTGAGCGCCGCTGAGCCGAGGCCAACATGGTATTTTTACCTTTTATGTGCGTGTGCAGAAGCCGTCCAGGGTTCGAGGATTTCAGATCCCGCGTATCACTCCGGCATTTCTGCAAACCCACTGCAGTGAGAACACCATCTGCACCTAAGCCTTACACGGCTCACTTGGCATTGGTTTTCATCTTTAACCTTAAGATCACATTCATTTTTGAATGCTTTTTTTCCCTAGGAGAGAATGGCACGGTTTCATGTATTATACTTTGGACAGGTTGAGTTTGAATAAAATGTTACTATTTTCCCCTTCATGCCTATTATTATAATGTTCTGAACAAACCTGAATGGTGAAAGTAAATAAAAAAGGTGATAGTGGTTGAAGTTTGTGTTTCCTTCTGTCTGTGGGGAGGACTTCGAAGAGGCGGCGGGAGCCCCATTGCGAAGTGGAGGACACGTCACCTGTCATGCGTCAGTCAGCGAGCCTGGTGCTCCCCCAGAAGGGGGGTCAGGTGGCCTCTTTAGGCTGAAGTCGCTTTTGGAATACGGTGCCTGTGGAGGAAGAAAGAAGATGCGAGATGGAAAAAAACGCACCCGTGAAAAAGGTGCAGAAGAAATATAAATGGGCGGTTACAAAATAGTCGCTGGGAGGTAAGGCTTCTTCCTGGACCATCCTACTTACCTACCTGTCTTATCGCACTCTCGTCTAGTTGATAAGACATTAATTGAGCACCTACTATGCAAAACAGTCTACAAGGCTCCCAGTGCAGCCTAGAATATAGTCGATCATATCGCAATAACTATGTGGAGTGCCAGGTCGATGTCTAACCACTACGTTGTGTACCCGAAACTCGTATGTAATATTGAATGTCAACTATAATTGAAAAAAAATTAAAATAGATTAAATTACAGAGTGGTAGGTGGGAATTTACATGTTGGGGAGAGCAAGCAAGTGCCCTGGGTGCCCCGAACACCCGGCAGGAGCACGTGTCCCTATTGATTCTTCCGTCTGTTGCCTGGTGTCCCTTCAACGCACATGGGTGCTTCACCCGTGCCTTGCTTCCTCGGCCATCTCCTCGTCTGTCTGCACGTAGACTTCCCATCTCTCCTCCTGTTGATTGGCCTGTGCGGTCCTCTCCTTGTCTGGAAACTCTGCAGGCTAAGCTTGATAAGGAGAAAAAACAATGTCCTTACCAACTCTGTGTTGTTGAGCAAACACCAGTCTCTCCCCACGCTGCAGAGAGCAGGAATCCAGCTTCCCCACAGCCTGGCAGGGAGTGCCCTGGGGACTGACTGTTTGTTAGCAACTGCCGCAGAGACACCGGGCCCAGGACCAGGCGCGCTCCAGGCACAGGGATGTTTCTCGTAATCCGAAGAGAGGAACTTCCCCATTAGGTAATAACCAAAGCCTGAAGGAGTTCATAGCCAAGCTCTTTTATGCATGATACGCAAACAGCTTGAAGGGCCATAAATCCGCTAATGTTATCTTTCCTTCATCTCCACACACCCGTACATGTCTCACGCCCAGTTCACCGAGCACAGTTGGACCCGGCAAGTAGGATGCCTTCTCTCATCCAGTCAAGTGTGGTAAGGCCTTTGCTGAACAGCTACTATGCAAAACAATTTGTATAGCTCTCTGAGGGCAGAGAGAGGAGCAAGGCAGGGTCTTGGCTCTCGGGACCTTTGTGTGTTATAAAGCTAATTGACTCAGTAGCTAAGCCTCGAATAAGCTCAGCCCACCAACTGTCTGCATTTTATGAACGTTATAGAAGTATTTCAGTAAATTTAAAACAATACAAACATATCAGAAAAAAGTGAGCTATTCCTTCTTCTTCGCTGGTCCCTCTCCCCAGGGGAAGCTGCTGTAACTGTTTGCACATGTGATCCCAGTTTTTCCCTGTCTAGATACATAGATTTAGGATTGCAAAGGCAGCATAATGCCAACATAGTCCGTGACCATCTCAGCTTCGCAGATTTGCTTCCTTCTCTTTGGAGGCAGAACATGGCCCTCAATGTTGTCACTGACTCCGCTGTCCTCATTGTGCACCCGCGGTTTTCCCAGTTTGCTCTCACGATAAACAAAACACCACCAGATGATCCTAGACACGTAACTTTGCTGGCATGTGGTACCACTTGGGGGGATATAGATTCCTAGAAGTGGAATTCCAGGATCAAATAGTGGACACATTTTTAAGATGAATAAATATGGCCACATTTCCTTTTTAAAAAATGGTATCAGGAACCAGTAGGATATAATAATATCTGAAGTATTTGTTTTCCTCTATCCTCGTAACAGTACTATTTAAAAATTATTTTGCTTCTGTGAAATATGCATTTATTAATAAGACTGGGCACTTTTATATGCATTTACTAATGAGACTAGGTACTTTTTTCATATACCCAGGAATTGTGTTTCTTCTCTGAGTTGTTATCCATAGCAGTTTTTGCTATTTTGCAACTCATGCCTTTGATAACAATTTCTAAGACCTCGATGTATATTGGGATATTAGCTCTTTGTCCTGTTTGGAAAATATGTTCGCCCTGGTTGTCCATTAATTTTATTTTTCATGATACTTCCTGTCCCCAAGCAGATCGATTTCATCTTAAAATGAAGAAAATAAATAAAACCATTTTCTATGGAAGTCCCTGATCTATCTGGAGTTGTTTTATTTAAGAGAAATAGGTCTGGTTGTATCTTTAAAAAAACCTTTAATTTTCACAATTGCTAGCCCCTTATGCCAGCATCATTTATTAAATGATTTATTTCCCCCTGTTGGTCTGAAATGTTCCCATTCCCATTCCTGTAAGGCTTGGGTCTATTTCTGCACTATTTCCTTTCATTGATTTGCCAGGAAAATACTCCTTTAATTATTGTTGCACTGTAAAACTCTTAGTGTCCCTGAGACCTAATCTGCTGTGTTCTTTTGAATTTTTCTGATCATTTTCCCACGGTTAACCCTCCCAAGTCCCTGAGAGTCATTTGGCCACGTCCTCTCCCTGACCTCTCCTAACCTCCACACCCCCCACCCCCTACCACAAAAATACCGTCGTGATATCTATGAGAATTGCCTTGGAGTCAGGGCTACACAGAGAGCGGACCTCTTCACGGTAACGAGTCTTTCCATCCAAGAATGTGGTTTTTCAACTTGTCTACATTTTGTCTTGAAAGGGCTTAGTGATGTGTACACTGGTCCCAGACATTTACCCTAACTCACAGGTTGCATGTTTCTGTAGCTGCCATGAGCGAGTTTTCCTTCCACTGTTCCTGACTGGTTAAGTCTGATGAGTTCTCCCCATTTATTTCTATTAAAGAAGATGAAATGTAAAATCGCGGAACAGACATGTTGGACTCGGTTTTTGTCATTTTACTGCATATTTACTTCCATTTTTTTCAATGTTCATCTTTCGTTCTCTGACATTAGAAGTCTCTTCCCAGCTCCATTTGGAGTTCAATACGACTGCTAGTGATTGTGAGTGTTCTCTCTTTCAACTGAACAAAGCCACTTTTTCTCTTTATCAACCAAACAGAACAAAACGAGCCTATTTACTTGGTCCATGAAAGACAAAAACAAATTAGTATATGTACCTCTTCTCTCGCCATGGGACTGGACTTCTCTCCATTTGCACTGGCAGTTTAGCTCATCATCTTTTTGAAACACTATGTGGCTTTTCTTTAAAGAACTGTAACCGGTCTGTTGTCGCAGTCAACACATACACAGATTTATGTGTATGTTTAGGGAGACGCTCGCCACTTCCTGGCACCAGGCGCAGGGTGTTCTCACTTTTATGGTGGGCACATGCTGGGCCCTGCAGTGGGTGAAGGACTCCTGGTCTGGTGACGAGGTTGGGAAGAGGCCACTTGCAAACACAGTGCCGCTGCCCTGTCACTCAGCCAAGATACAGTGTCCACCCTCCTCACCAGGGGCTCAGTGTGTATGTCGCTGGCCGTCAGTGGGTGGGGGAAAATAGGGCAGGTCAGCCACACCTATGGCTACAGACAAGTGAGGCTGTGGATGGAAGTGGAAAGGCAACAACTAAAATTTGGGTCTTCTCTAGCAGCCTGGTGTCCGGCTTTTTCCAGGTCCACAGTGTGGCATCTGAGTGAATGACATTTGGGGGAAGGGACCCGGTGCTTCATGAGGGTCTTAGGCCGTGCCTGTGAGTAGTGCCTGCTTCTTTGGAGTCTTCACTCCACGTGCCTGGCATGCACCCCATTCAGATACAGTTCTAGCAATGGCAACTTTGCAAAGTCCAACTCAGTATTTGGTGTGATCAAGTTAGACAGGAATAAAAAGCGGGTAGAGATAAAGGGGCTTTAAAAAACCAAAACGCAGATGTTCCCAGGCACTTGTGCCTAGGAAAATAATCCTAAAAGAGATTCAATGCGATACTTTCAACCAATGTAAACATACATAGTACAGAAGACAGAAAATTCAATGTTTTTTTTTTTCTGGGAAAAAAAGGTTTATTGCATATGTTAAATCAATAGACATCTTTTATAAAAAAGAAGGTTAGAATAGAGATCTCACCTTTGTAAAGGCACATATGAAACATTTCACAGCCGTGTCCTGGCAGTGAGAACAGATACGCAACTTCGCAACAGTATCTAAATAAGACGTTATAAAAACACAAAGGAAACAGTGCAAAAAATACTGTCAAAAGTCAGCTTTATACACCTCGTAACTGTGTACAAAACTGCCAAGCACAAGCTTATTAACTGATATAAAAAAAAGCATATAGAATAGCATGCATAGTTTTACTTAAGGCTTTTAATATTATTAAATTGAGAGGGAGCCTATAACGAAGTAGAGTTGGCATGAATATTGGTAAACACTTCCCAACTTAGGGAATGTCTTACAAACTCCCTGCTCCCTCTCTCCCCTTACAAGTTGGTAGTAAGGAGAGACTTCCATCTGCAAGGTAGCAACTCAGGAGCCCAAGCCCCCACCTGGAATGCATTTCTCACCGCAACAACCTAGCAGGTGGTTAGATTTCCAGGTCAGCCCACAGCAATAGCCGGCTGGCTCTGGCTGACACCACCCAAAATCTCAGCTCTGTTGGGAGTCAGGAGGTTCCTGTGGGCCAATCCAAGAACGTCACGAACAAACTGGCTTCTAAACTGGGAGTTTGTCTATGTATCGTTTAGAAAGGAAAGCTAATAATGTCAATTGTTTTTGAATGATGCCGCAATTTGTGACGTTTTATAAAACACAGACTAAGGAAAGCATCAAGATACTGAATTAAGTAGCATAACAGTCGTCCAGTGAAACAAACTAGATACACCTGTGATTGGATGTAGCACAGGTTACACATAAGGTTACATATTTAATAGTCATCTGCGTATGTAAAACTTTCTTTTCCCATTTCTGACCCCTCAAACAAATTAGCTGACCATTAAAGGGACAAAGGACACATCCAGGGAGTCATCTCTGATGAAGAGGAACCTTCGTTATGAAAGGGTAAGGTTACTAGATGCTGAAGATCCCGAACACTGGGAAGAAAGCTCCGTGAAAGGCAACAGCGGTAACATTTTGCAGTGTTCAAGTCGAACACAAACAGGCCCTGAATGACAGCTTTCAGTCCCAGGCTGAAGGTGATTTATTAGCTCACACCGCAGTGGGGGGAGGGGGTCGGAGGCCCCTGGGAGACGCCTAGAACTCCTGGCGCCCCTGCTGAGCCCACTGATGCTAAACTGGAAGCAGCATTCCTGAGATTTTTAGCGAGACAGTTCCACTGCAGGGCACAAAAAGCCCAGACCCAATCCTTTGGGCTTTCTCCCCAAAACCTTCTGTGAGAAGGCATTTATTTGCCTTTCCCGGGAGCAGGAGATGGGGGAGGAGGGACGGGGCAAGCTCCATAGAGTGGATCAACAGCTCACCCTGCCCCCGCCTCGCCAGATGACAGAACTGACCATAACACGAATTGTCAAAGGTCTGGGGAGCCCAGGAACAAATTAACCTGGCTACAGATGCTGCTGGGAATCCATGTGTTCACCTTGGAATACGCACCAGGTGCTGCTGCTGTCAGTCACTGTTGGAAGAGGGCGGTCCATCAAACCCATCCTTGCTTCCCTCTCAGCTGGTACTGAGCAAGGGGCTGTCACCAAGGGAAAGAGTGGGCAGGTCGGGCCAGTGCCCTGGCTCTTTCTATTCTGCTTATTTCTATTTGCCAGATCATATCTCACTCCTCAAAACTGAAGAGTTTTTAGAAATTAAAACTGTATTTCCTGATTACACAGTTTGGAGAGGTTCAAGAGTTTAATACAGATTACTGATGTGGTCCAGATTAAACTATTGTGTAGGGGTTGCCCTGACAAGGCAGGGAAAGAAAAGAAGGTGGGCTGATGAGAGCGGGTCCCTCACACAAGTGGAGGACAAGGAGAGGTCGGTGGGCACAGCCTCTGGCGAATGAGGTGTCTCGGGATAAACAGGGGGACCTCACAGAACAGCTCCACCACGCCCCCTAGTGAGACAAGCAACAACTGCAGTTGCTATCCTGACATCCGGTGCTGGGACCCTGATTATAAACCTGACTTGCCCTAAGGGGAAAATGCTCTGCAGGCCTCTGGGACAGCAGGAAAGAAGAATCAAGGTGCAGGGGGGCTGTGATTCTGACCGGGAGCCACGGGGATGGATGAGCAGAACCCGCTGCTGAAAAAGGCTGTAGAGAAAGGAAGGGCCAACAGCAAACGACGGGAGTCAGCACTTGGCAGCAGCAAACCCAGGGGGCCACCAGAAGCCATAGCATCATCGAGCTCTGCACCACAGTGAGAACGTGGGTAAAAATGCGAGCAAGGGTGAAGTAGACCCCCACACGGCAGTGGGGTCTCTCGAGGGGGGGCCACCACCTGGCCCATGGCCTCACAGCAAGGGAAGGAGGAGCGTGAGAGACGTTCTAGGGTCCAGAAACTTATTTGTGAATCCGTGAATGTTTTCATAGCAACTTCAGGGTTGATCTAAAACCCTCCCTCCTCCTCTCCCCATTCAGAGGTGCTCCCTGGACAAGCTTATGGAACTTTCTGGAAAGAATGGTCCTGATGGCCCAACGTGTGGCCGAAGAAACAGAGACTTTCCGTGTGGACACTTGTCATATTCAGGCTGCACATCAGCTCCGGCCCTCCTGTCTTATAATGAAACGTCCTTGGATTTACTGTTAAGATTGGGGGGCCGGCCAAAGCTCTGAAATGCAGGAACTGATGCACTTCCTCCCCTTGACAGCACCAAACCACAGAAAACCATCTGGTCCTATGAAATCAACTGACACCAGACACTCAATGCCAAGTTCACGGACATTTTGGCCGAGAATCTTTTAGTTTGGCCTTGAGGAACAGATACAGATGTATTAAGCTAGAAAAGATAAGCAAAGTAGTCTCACCTGGATAAAGACACTCACCCACCCACGTGTGTGGACTGGCTGAATTCCACTGGATGAACCTCACATTTCTCCCAGGCACGTTGCTGTGACTTGCAACAGATGCATCACTAAGGGCTTTTGCCCCCGAAAGTCTTAGAAACTGAGGCAAAGACCAAACCATCCTACTTTATCGCCCAGAGTTCAAGGGAAGTGTCAAACACAGCTCGGCATCTTAAAGATCTCCACCCTACAGGGCCAGCTGGTTTGTCACCTACAAAGCTGTGGGCCACTGGGAAGTGTGTGCAGTGTCCACGGAAAACCCACATTTCTGCATTTGGAAGTAGTGCTAGATGGGCTGTTGTTTTGCTCACAGAAAGAAATCACTGCATAAGAGCATGAGCAGTGTCTGCTAAAAACCAGAGGCAACAACTTCACAGAGCAGCAGAAGAATCTTTGGTAAGATGAGAGAAAGCCGAATTCCCACAAAGGGCCACTTAAGAGCCCACCAGGGGTTACTTGGTGTTTCTGGGAATTTCTGACCCCAGGAGCCCAACTATTCCTGGCAGGGAGGCGGAACGAAGGGCAGAGGACCACCGACATGGGTCTGGCCCAGTCCCATCCTCACATCTGAGCTCCCTGGCATACGCCTGAGAAGGCCCCTGCACCTGCCCCTGCCCTGAGTGACTGACAAATCTCCCACAGAAGAAAACCAGGAGGTCTGCCCGCTTTCCCCGTGAAACGCACACTGGGAGGTGGAGAGAGGTTGGAAAGCACCTCTGCTCTCTGATAGGACACCTTCAGGATCCACACATCACGTCCCCTAACCACCGGGCTGGGGTCAGCTAATACAGATGGCACACCCAGAAAGGACGGCAGCTGGACACCCCACAGTGCTGTGCCTGGTGGCCAGCCCCACCTGGCAGACTCGACAGGGTGCTAACGCCTCTGCAGAGTGACCTCTAGGCCTGCGAACCGCCCTCCCCCCATGAGACAGGCCTCACTGCAGCCACACTGAGTGCCACACTGCCCGCCGGCACGGGCTTCCCCGTCCTTTAGCTCTCGTCTGAAGAAGTGACGTGCCATGTGTGATCTTCGCTAGGTCAGGGGAAGAGACGCACTCTATGTATCAGGTCGCTCCATGTGGGTTTTCTGTTATTGTAAGTAAAATACGGTCCAACTCTCACTAATTTCATATGAACTCTATGAAAGCCAGGAAAGATAAGAAAAGCAGGCAGCGGGATGAAGATGCCGCCCAACTGTACCCACCAGAGTTGATGACGGAACTGCAGAAGCTGAGAGCAGACAGGATAAAGGTGTAGGGGGTGCTGGGCAGGCCGGTGGTCGAGGCCCACGGCACAGCCCACAGAGCGGCTCCATCCAGGCTGACGGAGGAAGGGGCCGAGACGGCCGAGGGACAGGCACCTGGGTGAACAACAGCATTGATTACAGTTTAAAACACTCGTTTTCTTCTCAATCTAGGACCACTGTTGGGAACCTTACACCTGGCTTCTAGCTAAAAACATTGCATTGATTACAGAAACCTGTGCGCTCCACAAGCCAATCGGCTACAGGTACATGAGGTGTGCACGTGCTCCACGAGCCAATCGGCTACAGGCACATGAGGTGTCCACGAGTACCAGCTGCACCCAAGTAATCAATAAGCGGGCCCTTCTTTGTCTCAAGCTAGCCAATAGCAAGCAACCTAATCTCCTTCCTCTCCCCCCCCCCTATATATATACCCAGTTCGGAAAAATAAAGTTTGCAGCTTGATCAGAATCTTTTGTCTTGCTGCCATTCTTCGCGCCTCTTGTCCCCCCAACTCATTTGTTCTAGGTAGGTGGTCGAGCCCCAGTTGATTGCTCCGCGGGCCGGAGCAGACCACAAAGCTTCTGGAAGTGAAATGCTCTGTGTTCAGGCTCCCAAAAGTCTATCGCCCCAACTCTTCCACCGGGAGAAGCATTTACTGTCCCTCATCTTCCTGTTCCCCTCCAACCGAGGACAGGAGTCCAATCCTCTTTGCCCTCCGGTAAGAAATCCGTGTTTGATGTTCCTCTCTAACGCACCCAGATCACCCTCCACTCCTGTGCAGGAAGAGAGGCAGGCGGGTGCCCCCGGAAATGCTGCTGGACACTCTTACCGAGAGGTGACGCCTCCTTAGAGCCCAAGGGAACCACCGAGCTAGAGGCTCAGTTCAGCTCTAGGATAAAGACGTTACACCCCGTCCCGCGATCCAGTGACCAGACTCAACAAGGCCACACACGGGGTCAACGCACCCCAATGACAGCGGATGAAAGAAAGATGATGTTTCAACCAGACAGCTTCCACACCAAAAGCCTGGAGATGTTTGAAGTCTGTTCTGGGGCACTTCCCCTCCACCTCCATTTTAATTTTCTCCTTTCAAATTCAAACCGTAGCAACAGAGCCTAACTTCGGACTTGGTCCAGCATCAGGAACTCATTCCAAAAGCACTAACTAGATAACTAATTTAATGCACTTTGCTTCAAGGTTTATTCCTTGGCTGGCTTCCCAGATATAAAGCATCTCTGGGCAATTACTCTGCAGATGCCACTGAACGAAGTTTAAATGGCACTGCTCAGGGAACAGGAGAGGCTGGCACCCGCTGGAGATGGGAAAAGGAACCCAAAACGTGCCGAAGGACCCAAGGCCTTTGTTTTTCAAAGCGAAAGATGGGAAATAGCTTCAGAGTCGTTCCCTCCCCCTTTTGAGTTTCCATATAAACGTTGGCCGGGAGGTTGGACATTAAACCTGGTTCTTTCCTGCACACCATGCATTCATGGTGTAGGAGTGAGTACTCCTACAGCACCAGGCGGTAACACTGGGTGGGGTGAGGGGGACCCACAAGCGATGAGCTCAGAGACAGCAAATCGACACGTCGTCCTGGGGAGACGCATCCATGGTGCCCACGCTGGGGCCCCTGAGAGGAAGGCGGAAGGCTGGTGCCGTTCATCAGACACTAAAGTGGGGAACTGCGGACTGCCCGTTCAGCCACCCTTCCGCCAACCATCCCGAGGACAAAAGTCTCTGCGGAGAGGAAACAAACACCTCTTTGCTCACTGACCCAAGTTCTGAGCATCTCGGAGGGCGGGATACAAGCTCTGTTCCACTGAAAGTACATGTCACACTAAAGGTTTTCTTTTTCAGAATATGCACCAAAATGTCAGAATCTACAGAGCTCGGCTGGAGTTATTATAGCCCTTGACTGATTCTTTAGGTCTTGGGGTATAAGACGGACACTTACACTCTGCCCTCCATCACCAGATACTCTGAGTCTAAACAAGAGAAGGATCACCGTACCATCCGGCCAGATGCGACCCTGAGTTGATTCACAGGCCAATGCCATTCATGGGGAACTGTGTCCACACCCATCTGTTGGTCTCTGCTGACCGGAAGTCACTCTTCTCTTCTTTCTGGTTGATTTGATGCCGTTCTTTCTTTGTTTGTTTGTGTTTTCAGCTCAGAAGAAGACAAAAAGAAAAAGGAAACCAGGCAACCGTGGAAGGAGATATGGTGCAATACCACAGGGACGAACTCGGACAACAAAACCACAATTTAAAAGTTGTGCTCAGCAAAAACTAGAGAAGTGGGGACAATCCCCCAAAATTCGGCAAGATGGAAAATGCAAGGCACATCTGTGTCCTAACCTAAGACATTCTGAAGGGCAGTGACCGACGAGGGCCCAGGAAGGGGCACAGTGAGAACCAAGCGTCACTGAAGTTGGCGTTAACAGCACAGATGACCAGAGTGGGCTGTATGGAGAAAAGGAGACCCGTGCAGGACTTTGTGTGAGACGAACGTCACCATTTTTCATCACATGGGCCGAGGTTTTGACTCCAGGGCCCGAGTGGGCTTAGTTCTGCTCTCACGGACCAAGGCCCGGAGATGGTACCAGCACAGTGGGGTCGCCCTTGGGGTGGCCGCTACCCAGGGCCCCTGCTGAGTGTCAAGCAGCCCCTGTAAACCACCTTTCTCTACTGTTTCCTTTCTAACCCATTCCCTGACTTGGTGACTGATGGACCGGCAGAACACCCCCAGCACCTTGACCTTCAGGCCCCCGCCCGACATACGTATATAAACCAATACAGTATCCAGGGCCTTCCTGTCTCCCCTCTCTTCTCGCTCTGGTCCATCAGCTTCTCTCAGTCAGGCAAGAGGCCCAGCTGCACAGATGGCCTCGCCCGGGGCCTCAAAGGCCACCAGCCTGGCACCCACTGAGCAAAGGAGGAGAAGCCGCAAATATGGAGGGGGCAGCCCCCTGGCAAGGAAACACGGGCTCCAGGGCCCCGATTACGGGGTGGTCGACGGAGACCCAAACAGAGCTCCGAGTTCAGCCCGGGCAATAGCACTGCTGCGTGGTAAGGGCGGGACTTCCTCCTGCTGCGGCCCTTTCACTGGCGGTTGGAGCTGGGGGCTGGGAAAAGGGTGAAGACAGACAGGAAGAAGGGAGGAATCTGCCCACCACGGCTCATCAGCCCAAATACAAGGGAATAGTATTGTTTTTCCTTCAGAAAAGGGGCTTGGCCCTGATCTTTATATTTTAGGAAGAATTTGTTTTCTTGCCATCTTTCATTCGGACATGAGAAGTTAAGCTGAATTGCAGGGCTGGTCACCCAGCTAGTTGCGACTTCACCAGAGATGCGTTCCCTTGTGCCTCTGTCCCCCAAACGGCCCACCAGGCCACCTTCCCTACCAACGTGTTACAATGCAGATCAGTCAAACTGTGGTTCAAATGAAAAGTACTGCATTACAATGATTCAAAAAAAGTTATTCCAAAGGGGAAAAAATAAATTATCTCATATAAAATAATACATGGTGTTTATGAATAATCTTGGCTCCTTTTCTCGGGGAGCCCGTGTCCTGTGGCCCCAGCTTGTCCGTGCCCTGCAGGGGGCGCAGGTGCTGTCTGGAGGTGCCTCCCAGCTGCAAAACGGTGGCGCCGGGTCCCTCTTCCAGGACCTGGGTCCGGGGCTTAAATGAGTCTGGAGTTTTGGAGGAACTGAATGAGGACTTGGTAGACAAACTTGTACTGAGCGATGGTCTGGATCATGAACATCCTTTGCTCCCTGAGGAGCCTCAGCATCATGGGCACTTCCACCTTCTGCAAGAAAAAAGAGGAAGCACAAGGTCCTGAGATGGGGAGCTTCCTGGGGGTCGCTCCTCATTCCTTCATCCAAGAAGCATCCGCGCACTGTCCACATGCAGGGACAGGAGACAGCAAAGGACTCGGCCCCCTCGGAGTTGCCCCGGTCGAAGATTTATACCAGCAGCTGGAGAACCTGGGTGGCATGTACCCTGGATTTCCTATTTGAAATACAGACCAGTGTGGGAGGGAAATCGCAGAGGCTAGAATTAAACCCGACTGGTCCTCTCAACTCTCTCATGGCCCAACAACAGGATCTGTGACGTCCCCTGGCCTCAGTTTCCCCACCTGTGAATACGAACCATGGTGCTTTCCTCCGAGAGCAGTGTGGCCCTGCCCAGGTCAGTGGCATTTCCCGAGCAATGACATGGGGCGTAAATAGCACCCGCCTGCCAGGATCACAGAAGGAGGTACACGTGCAGCTCTCGGCACAGTGCCTGGCCCACAGCGAGTGCTCACTGAGGAGCGCTCCTCACTGTTGTATATCTGCGTTACCGGAGCGAGAACAAGGACCCACTACCCCTCTGCTCTGCCACTCCGTGGCTGTAGGGGGCGGGTATGTCCCTTTATCTACCTGTGCCTCGGTTTCTCTGTGCTGTGCAAGGGACCTAATAAGACCCTTCTCACGGAGTTAACGGTGAAGGCTCCACGAGCTATACAGTTCTTACAATCGTCCTGGCACATGGTGAACACTAAATACAGGTTAGCTGGTGTTACTGTAATATTTTCATTTTTGTCGTCGTCACCATTATCACCTCCCCCACCCTTACCACCTCCCCCACTCCCACCACTTCCCCCACCTCCACTCCTATCTCCATCATCACCACCACCACCACCACCACAAGCCTGCAAGACTCAGCCCCAAGGACAGATGAGATTTCCTGACGAGGTTTGGAGACAAGACAAAGGAGGTTCTCCTGGTCCTCAAGGGAAGGGTCCAAGCTGCCTTGGAGACTCACTCCCACGGGCTCTGATGTCCACTGTCCCCAACCCAAGGAACCCTGAGGCAGGTGATGCTTGCCCAGTCTTGCCAAGAGGCCATTTTCTCCTCCCTGCTCTGTGAAGTGGGGGAGGGGCAACTGATTTGGAAAAGCAGCCAGATCAGGGCATTGGCTGTCTGGCTAGTGGGAACCTGGTCCCTTGTAAGTAGCTAAAGAGGACACATAGCTAAATCCAGGGAGCCGAGGGAGAATATTGCAAACCATAAACTCCTGCGTTCTGAAGAAATGTATAGGCATTAAAATAGCACAGGTAACATTCAGCCACCAACAGCCACAGGCCACAACATGAAAACTGAATGGATAGCGGAATAAAACATAAAGTGGGTTAATGCAGAAGCCATGGAACGAAGGCAGGAAAGTTCAATAACGTGTCAAAATCTTTGCTGAAAAAAACACATGAACACACTAAACATGTTCCGCTCCTCTCCCAAAATAAGGGTTTGAGGCTGACTCGCCAGGCCTGGAGCAGGATGAAGTGCAGACCCTTCTCTCCCTCACCACCTACCAACAGCAGTTATGGGAAATGGGCCAGCAAGGCCGGCTGTATTTGTGCTGGGGAAGGGAAGTGAAAAATATGAGTCATCTGGCTACCTTTGAATGTCAATGGAAACAGAAGTCCTTTTTGGACTCACCACGCTGCCACAGAGAATGCTCTGGCGTCCAACTGGGCATTGAGGAAATCCGCTATGTTTGGACACACCAGGCAGATGTGGCCACCCGAGCCCTGGTCAAGCCGTGCAAGGCCCCAGGGGCTGGACCCTCACTCCGTGCTGGGCTGGCTCTGACGTGGGCTGTTTATGTTCTACTGGGCCAGTGACATCTGGTGATCAGTGAGCCTTCACGTCATCGCATCACAGACACCTAGTCTTTGATGGGTCTCCAAAGAGCCCAAGACGGCCATCCTTCAGGTCAGACAAGAGAGAGAAAACAGCCTCTCCAGGTGAAGACGAGGGAGGGAACAGGAGAGGGGGCGTGGACAGGGAATGAAGAAAAGAGGAATCTGATGAAGAAAATGATATGAGAGGGGAGGCAGTGACATGTAAGGGGGGAGGGGACAACAAGGCCCTCCTTCGCCCTCCCCTGGAGCCCCCGGGACCCCCAGGGGAGCCCACGGTATGCCTGGGTCGCAGGTCCCCTGTTCCACATCATCTCATCCCATCTTCCAGAATGGCGTGCATCGGGGACTAAGCGGCAAGCTATTCACTCTGCTGAGACTTATGCAGACTTCTGATGGTGGCGGGGAAGCCAACAAGGGAGTCGGAGACAGGAGGGTTAAAACTCAAAAAAGATGATGGAACCTCCATTACTGTTAGTTTGTTTTTTCACCGACAGGCCACAACACACCAAACTCCCGTCCTGTGTTTCGGCCACACAAACATTCATCTGTGCAGACTGAAAGTTCCCAAAATTAACTCTTTATAAGCAGCGAGCTCAAAAACCCTTTGAACACATCTAAACGTAGCATTTATTGTTTTCCTGGAAACTATAATATAGAAGATTTCGTGGGGTAATGATTAATCCAATTTCTGAGCCGCTGATGCTGTTGAGTAAGTGCTCACATATTATCACATAAATCCCTTCACAGAATATGCGTAGTAACGCTTTCTAAAAACTACCAAACCACTTCAAAAGTTTCCCTAGATTTGCTAAGCTGTGTAGTTTGGAAAACGAACAAGAACCCAACGACACTCGGGGTTTGGAGGTAGACTGGAGACTGGCAGTAACTGGGGGCCGGGGTAGAGGGTCTCACTTGTCACGGAGGCACTGCTGCCTTGGAGCCACGTGGCAATGGACGAGTCCCCAGTTTCTGGGCCTCGGTTTCCCCACCTGTGGAGCAGGGGGACGGGCACGTGTCCAGTTCCTCCCCATGGCTGCTGTGAGGACCCCAACTAAGAAAAACAAGGGCAGATGTTCTTCTGCGTGTTTCACCCTGATGAACTCCGAAGCCCCTCAGAGTAACTCCCTGATCTGCAGCAAGAAGGGGGATCCATGCACCATGCAGCCAGTCCAGCCACGGCCCCTTCTTCGTGGGGAAGAGCTGGGCGTGACCTCGGCAAAGGCACGCAGACGGTCGACCCGCTCTGCGCGTCCACGCCGCCGCCAGCCTAGACAAGAGCCGACAGCAACCCCCTTTCAAGAAACTCCCTCTGAAGAATGAAAGCCAGTTTTACGCTCCCCACATTTCACATAGGATCCAGGCCAAAACGCATCTCAGACACGCCAGACGCATCTAAACTACATGTGACCCGCCAGGGAAATTACCCACAATAAAACCAGACTGTCTACAAAACACAGTTGACCTCCAGAAGGACGTGTTGACTAAGATCGGACTTTCTCAACAGCTCCTATCTTACGCTCCGATCTCCTCTGCCATGTGCTGCGGGTGTCTGCACGGCACAGGGAGAGACAACAAACAGATAAGGAGGCAGAGAGTGTCAGAGTCCCGGCAGGAACCGCGGGTCTGGAAGGCCCCCGTCAGCACAGAGGAAATCAGGCCCTGGAAAATGAGGGCACGGGTGAGTCCCCAAGGTGGCGTGGTCACTCAGGAAGCCCAGAGTGACTCACCTCATTATGCTCCAGGCAGTAGATCATCAGCTCGGAGAGGATGACCACGCCAGTCCTTCCCACCCCAGCGCTGCAGTGGACGACGATGGGGGGGTGCTGGTTCTTGGTGCCTTCCAGCATGCTGTTGGTGTGCCGGCGGACGGACTGGATCTCCTCCAAGTACGCTGCAAGGCAGAACGCAAATCTGGTCACCAAAGTCCTGAGTGGCTTCGCAGACAAGTGAGGGGGGGAAAAACTGATGGTGAATCTTTTTTTTTTAAAGTGACAATAATTTACAGTTCTTACAAGACACTAATTATTTGGCTGGTACTCACTGTACAAGTCCTAGAGCCAGAAAGGACCAGCTGGGAGTCAATTAGTCCATGGGAGAATTTGTTCTTTAAATTAAATAGTTCTTTTTTAAAAATTAAATTGTTTTCCCCTCTGCAAATCCCAAAGTCCCCCAAGCAGATGATTCTCGACATTACTTACAGCAATTCCTCTATCAGCAGACTGGGATCAGAATAGCAGCGAGGGCCCCGTGCATCGCCTGCCTGTCGGAGCCAATTTCTGGTGGGAAGAGCTCCATCTGCCCCTCTCCCTTCTCCTCCCTGAATGAGTGAATGTCAACTGAGGCTTGACTTCATTTTTAGATTTTTCAAAAAGATTTTATCTATTTATCTTTAGAGGCAAAGAGGAGAGAGGGAGAGAAACAACAATGTGTGGTTGCCTCTCATGTGTCCCCTGCTGGGACCTGGCCGGCAACCCAGGCATGTGCCCTGACTAAGAATCAAACCGCAATTCCTTAGTTCGCAGGCCCGTGCTCAATCCACTGAGCGACAACAGCCAGGGCCATTTTTAGATTTTAAAATAAGACTTGATGGGACCTGCCTCTCGGCTTGAATTCCAAGGGCTCGATGAGTAGCTCACGATAAGCCACCCACACCCCCATTTCTGGAGGTGACGTGTTGGGACCGGGGGTCTTGCCACCTCCCTCGTCCCTTCCAACCGCTGCTGAGCCCAGCAGGGCTGCGCAGGGCTCTGCTCATTACTCCAAAGGGCCCCACGCGAAAAGTCACGGCAACAATGGCCTTCATGATCATCAGAAATGATAAATAAATAAGGGGTAGAAATGTAGTTCTCAAACAGGCCGAAACCTGGAAAAAGTGCATCAGTAACTGAGCGTCTGCAGTAGCTGGGTCGGGGGATTCCGAGGTTCTCAGCTCCCAGGAGAACCCCACCCTGACGCAGCGGCGTGCAGGAGACGAGCGGAGACACTCACAGGGGCGAGGGAAAGAGGTGCCTGCAAGCCAGTTTCGTCCACTCAAAAGCACCTGCTTACAGACAGTGAATAGAAACTCCTGTTTTTCTTCATAAGCTGGTCCGATTACAAAGTAATCTGAGGGAATTTACCAAAATAAGCGACGATCGCTACCAGCACCACTGGCGGTAACGTACAATGAGACGGGACAGAACAGGGGGGAAGACGGCCTGGGCCGACCAGACGGAGGGGCTGCTGCTGGGTGCGGACCTGAGCTGCACACTGCGCACGGAAGGAAGCCTCCGACCCACTTTTCTGCAGCGGGTAAAAGACAGTGGGTGCTGCTGTCTGACAAAAGGTAGTGATGCCAAAAAAAGACAGGGGTTTTCTTATGCTAAATTTGTTTTTTAAAGGTTTTTATTTATTATTTATTTATCTTTAGAGGGGGAAGGGAAGGAGAGAGGGAGAGAAACATCAATGTATGGTTGCCTCGTGTGCGTCTCCTGCTGGGAACTGGCCTGCAACCCAGGCCTGTGCCCTGACTGGGAACCAAACTGCGATCCTTTGGTTCGCAGGCCCGTGCTCGATCCACTGAGCTATGCCAGCCAGGGCTCTTAATACGAAATTTAAAAAGTCAGAGAAATACTGATCAGCGAGGCAGATGCCCATCAAATGTAGTTTCAGAAAGCACGGAGGAGTTGGGTTTAAAGGGACGCTTCCTCTAGCCATCGCATGAACAAAGCTGTCACTCAGTCAAGACCTCTGGGGGCTGGGAACAGTTTGGCCTTGGTGCAGACAGGCAATCTGAGCTAACAGCTGGAGGGCCAACGTTTCCAAACCCCACTCAGCACACCTGTCCTGAGTTTCTCAGGAATGGAAATTAGCACATTTGTATTATTTAAAAATATTTTCTCAGTAATTCAGATGGGCTTCCCTTCCATTGGTTCTGATTGAAAAGATCTGGCTTTAATTTTAACCACCTTATATATAAAGGCTTCATCTTTTACCAGCGTTGTCAGTTAATCATCCATCTGATCTACTTTTACTGTTTCCACATTCTGCATCTTGGAGGAAATTCTAATCGATCAATTAGTAAAAGCCCAACAGAAGGAAATAAACAGAATGGTCTGATGAGGAAAGAGAGAGAGCTCTGCAGAGGTCACTGCCCTGCTTACTAGGATCTGAGCTGCAGGCGAGGGTTCGACCTCAGGCAGATCGCTAAGCCCCTGTAGTTCGCACTCTAGACCCTGTGGTGCCAATCACCTTTCTCTTCTCCACTTAGAGCCTCCACTTCCTGTGGTCCCATCATTACTTGAAGGGGAAATTAAACACCTTTATTAACAAAAGAAGTCTGCATCGAAGTCTTTCCCGTGGAGTTTGTGAATGGAACTTAAAAACCCATCTCCTCTCTGTCTTCCCTGCCTCCCATTCTGAAGGAATATCAGAGCAAACTCATGGGGTTGGCCTTATCCAACGACCAGAGGACGGTGGCCTTGCCTTGGCCACCGGTATCCCACCAGCTGGGGAGGCAACCACACAGCAGGTATGACATTAAACCTGCAGAGAGCCCTAGGGCCTCCTCCCTAGAGGGGTCAGGAAGGAGTGAGCTTTCCCCTCAAGGGCAGGACATTTAGGCAAAGGAAGGGAGGGGAAACTCTGCGGCCGTCTTCAAAAAGCAGGTGCCCTGTGAGCACCAGTCTGAGCTCCAAGAGGTCACCTGTCCGATTGCCGTGTAGGGCACATGCCTGGGTCGGGGGCCAGGTTCCCAGCTGGGGGCCTGTGAAAAGCAACCCACATTGATGTTTCTCTAGCAAAACAATGTTTCTCTCCCTCTTTCACCTTCTAAAAAATAAATTAAACCTTAAAAGAAAAAGGGCAGATGACAGTATTGCTGTCACCCCTGGACTGTAATCGCTGGCCTGCCTTTCCCACAAGACCGAGAGCATCTTTAACACAAAGACGGCTGCATCTCTGCGTCCTGAGAGCCCAGGCCGAGCTGGCCATGTGGTGAGCACACACCCAGCTCTGGCCTTTCCAACTGTGTGCTGCGTGTAATCTGGGTGTGAGTGCGCCTCTAAGGTCAGCGTAGCCTGAAACAGGATGTAGGTGAATGACTCCAAAAACGACAGTTGCAAGCCTACAAGTGGATTTCAATCATTCCTAGTATCTTAATCACAGGTCCTGACTGAAATTTACTGCTATCGGGAAATACAGGGCTTGTGAGAGCAAAAAAATAAATGTCCTAATTTTATTGTTCTGTGGGTTTTTTTTAATTGTGGTAAAATATACATAACATAAAGTTTATCGTGTAAATCATTTCTAGGCATACAATGCAGTGGCATTGAGCATTTTCACAACCTTGTCCAAACACCACCACCATCCAATTCTATAAAGAACTTTCTTATTGTCCCCAATGAACAGTGTACCAGTCAAATAATAACTCCTGTTCCCCTCCTCCCTAACCCCAGGTAACCTCTATTATACCTTCCACCTCTGCGAAGCTATGCATTCTGGGTACCTCATATAAACGTCATCATTCAATATTTTGTGTCCGGTTTGTTTTACTTAGCACAATGTTTTCAAGGTTTAGACATGTAGCAGGCATCAGGATAATTATTAATGAGTAGCTAAAGTTCTAAATCAAGGAAGAATCATTCGTTTGCCAGAGTTTTAGCATCACGAGTGGAGAGAATACAGCAAGTGACATGACTTGTCTTCTCTGTTCCGCATATACTATGCGAAGGGTCACATGGGTCAAAGTTACGGCACTTTCGCCCCTTGAGGGAGAGCATCCTCTTTCCGTTTCACCTCCGACAGATACGACCACTGATTCAGGTGGTACCACCACGACTGGGAAGGGGAAACTTACACAAAAATCCTTGGACATCCTCTGGGCAGCCGTGGTCTGGCCAGTCGGTGTATTGCAAATGCCACACCGTCCTTTCCTGCCCAGACAAAAGGTGCTTCACCTTTAAGCCCGTGGTTGCATAGCAACCAGAATCTGTTCGGAACTTTGTGGTGACCTTGAACTTGCCATAGGTGGCTGAGCTGTGCTTGGAACCCAGTTTGGGCCAGTATCGGTGGCTCTTGGTTCGTCCGCCCTCCTGAATCACACACAAAAGCAAAATTGGAAATAAGTCAGGGGAAGGAAGCTCTTATCCTCTTAATCTTAAAATCTGAGGACAGAGAAAAATATAAATAGCTTCTAAGTCACTAACTCAGTAGCATCGTGCAGTGTCTATCAGAGATTAGGTCCTATAAATCTGAGCTAAGACCCATAATAAGACGTACAATGGCAGCTACATCGATGGAAAATGTAAGAGATTCACAACTGAGCTGCGGCTGAACGTTACAAAGAGACGAGCTAATGCAGAGTCTAGAGGTGGAAACCAGCTTGGGGTGTGGAAGAGACAGAGGGGTCTGCAGGGTAGCTGCAGTTTGGCGAGCATGGGGGAGGGTGGTCGAGAGGAAGCTGGACAGGCGCCTTGGCCCAGGGTAGGGGGTTTGGATGTCACACCACAGCCAGTGGGAAGCCATTCAAAGGAGGTGGAGCGACCTTAGGCAGCGGAGTGACTCACTCTAGCAGTCATTCTAAGTCACGCTCTGCAGTTCTGATGTTCAGGCCCGGGCCCTGCCCTCTCTATGAGACGCACGGACGACAGACACAGCCACTATCCCTAGTGCGCGTCCCACCTTTTTCCCAGCCTGACCCATTTGTTTTAGTTCAGTCGACCCCTGAACGAGAGAACAGTGGGGCAGACCACCTTGCTCTCTCCATTCACCGTGCAATATTTTCTGAGAATGTGCCTCTCGACCTTTTACACCATGTGTCTATTTTCAAACTTTCTGCACCGTTCCGAAATCACTGGAGTTGGGGGGTGGACGAGATGGGGGCTCAGGAGGGGACCCAGGGCAGGGTGTGGGTACAGACAGCAGAGAAACACTGTATGGTGGGAGTGAGCAGCCAGCGCTGGGGACTTGCTCCTTACACGAGCCCTGACACCTGGTCCACCTGCAGAACAGCACGTCTCTGGGTGAAACAGAGACGCTCCCCTCATTTATTTGGCTGTAGCGAAGTCTCCTTACGTTTGAAGCAGCCTGCCTCTTTTATTACTGCAAGGCCTTGAATTTATGTTGCTGTTAAGCATCTAAATCAGTTACGAGTTTCGGAGGCTGCCTCACAGATTGCCGGACTTCGTGTTGGTGAGGCTGGCTGCTTCTGTCACTCAGGTTTCAGCTCAAATGCCACCCCCTCGGCGGGCCCTGGGCTGCCCCGTCTAAAGAAGCCCCCAGTCACTCTCTACCCCGTTACCTGTTTGCTTTTTCTTTGGGATACTCGCCACTGTCTGAACTTAGCTGACTTGCTCAGTTCTTATCCTTCCCACCCCTCCCTCTAGGATGCAAGCTCCCTGGGGACAGAGATCGTGCCCGTCTTGCTAGGTACCGTGGCCCTTGGGGCAGCACTGAGGGTACACTGTGTTAAGGTGAATGGTCTCCTCCCAACTGCATCTCCTGCAATTACAAAAGATACAACCACCCTAGAGGATTTAGAATTAACTCTTTGTGGGAAGGTCAAATCGAAGGTCAGAGAAGGACAAGTGGCTTTAAAGAGGTGAAGTCCCTCTTACCACTAGCTTAGGGCCATTCTGCAAAGTAACTGCATGGAACAGTCAATGAAGAATATGTGCCTTTTTTCCCCAATTCTCTCTGGTCCTTACCTTTTAAAAATTGTTAGCATAGGGGTGTGTAATGCTATATATGGTAAAAACCACATGAAACCAGTCCCTTAAATGACTTCAAAACATGGGTTAAAATTTAATGAAAAGAAGGAAAGGAAGCGGTTAAGAATTTTTTTTTGAACTTGAGAATGTAACAAGAAAAGAAGAAAAAAATCTCCCCCCACCGACAGCAAGCTCCTGGGGAACTAACTGCTCGACGGGCATGTGCCCATTTTCATACCGCCGTGTGGAGTTCTCTATTTACCACAGGGAAACTATGTTTGACTTGGCAAAGGAAGAAGAAAACCCTTTTTCTCTCCCTAGAGAATAAGGACCTCCACAGGAACAACAGCTTCTGGTCTCTTTCTCGCCGATAAGCAGGAGGGCAGGCCAGCTGGCCATGCCTGGGCCAGGAATCGGTGCCTCCTGACCCGGAGCAGCCCAGGTCCGTGAATTGCAATGGAAAGACCATGGCTTTGTTCAGCACACAAGGGTGAGCAGGCTCTTTCTGTGTATATTTGACTTTAGCTCATGGCCAGGCAGGGAAAAGAGTTTAAAAGCTGGTGAACATGGGATGCAATCAATACACTGTTTTTGGAAAGCAAAACAAATTCATGGGGATGTCAGAAGGGAAAACACGTGCATGCCAAAGAGAGAAGGATGTGCAGAGCCCAGTGCTGCCGGAAGAGGTGGGGAGCAGCCCCTCTCTGGCCAGTGCCACCCCCCGCCTACCCCCTCCCCCGGGAACAGACAGCTGTCCCCTTACCTCTTCTGCGGTGACCATGGCGATCACGTTGGCTCCCTGCTCCCACACCATCTGCCAGAAGTCATGGCACGTGTGTGGCAGGGGCCCCTGCGTGGCTATGTAGTGCCATTCGGCCCCACCAACCACCACCTGCAAACCAAGGACAGCATTGGTGAAGTGACCCCAAGTCCAGGACCTGCTGACCCCAGGCAGGCCACATGGGTCAGTGCCATTACCAAACACTCTGAGGTCATGAGGGCCACAGGAAAATGCTGTTAACATACATTTCTGTCTGCAACCTACAGTAACTATGTACAAACCAGTGCCTTTCAAACACACACACACACACACACACACACACACACACACACACACACGAGCATCTCCACACACCCAATGTTAGATGAACCTATGTGTGTACAACCTAACAGAATTTGTTACAGGCACAACAGCTTTGCTCACTATGTGCAATGCACTGTGGTAATTTCTATTCTTTTCTCTACTCTAGTCTATTTAAAAGCCAAGCTGGTCCTGACTCCTGAATGACTGCACAGCCCACTACCACACTGTGACCTGCAGTTGGAGAATCAGTGCTCCGTGGCATCCGTTCAAACAACGGAGAAGTCCACCGTGGGCGGAGGCTTCCAGAGTGATGTCCTTCTACTGCTCACTTGGTAAGAAGCGTGCCGTCAACCTCAGTGGTGCCTGGCACTGTGCCACACATGGTACAGGTGTCCCAAAGGCACTTAAGTCGACAGCACGTGCCTTCTGTCATTAACTCCCCCTTGTGCCGTCCCACAGCATCCAACCAAACTCTGGAGCCATGAGACGGTTTTGGAAAATAGAATCACTACCCCGTGCCACTCAGAGTGATCTCGGGAGAGGAATTCTGCAGCTGCACATTTCAGCAGCAGAAAAGTCATAAATAAGAAGCTGTGTCTGGGGGGCTGAAGGCCACAGTGTCTGGCTAAACTGGTGGCCTTGGCAAGGACTCTTTCTGTGTCCCTTTCCATCCCTGGGCCTTGGTGTCACAGAGCCAGGCCTCTCACATGTGTGCCATGGCAGATTTCTAGAGAGTTCTAGGAGCGATGAAGGGATCATTGTTTGAAACTATTTCCCCTCCCTTATTTCATGAAACTCGGGATTAACTTGATTCAAACAAAAACAATGTCAGTTACTGTCTGATTGCACAAGGCATGTTTAGGTCAAAGCTGGCGAGCGAAATCTGTTTTCCAAGTACTGGTGGGAGGCAACATCCATATAGCTGCTGGCTGGCTAGGAGCTGGGTTATCAGGGGCGCTGGGATTTTCGACATCAGCCTCCCTGGCACCCAACATATAGGAACCATAAATACTTCCAGAGTATGCTGCTGCCTGGGGCCTTCTAGCAAGTTCCAAGTATTGACAGGAGGGCATTAAAAACTGCATTAAAAACGCAACAACCAATGCTACTAGGTGGATTTCACAGATGTGATTCCACCTCTGGAGCAGATAAATCTCTGTTCTGTGTTAACAGCCGTTTGGAACCCAGGGAGAAAACATTGGCAAGATAGACGACTCTATTCCAAAAACACGGACAAGTTCTCGCAAGCTCCATGGGTCTATTAAACGCACCATGTCTAACCCGGATGCACGGATGAAATGTGGGCCCCGGAGAACACTGGGAAGGGAGAGCTTCTGTTAAGGACACCCAGTGGGCCCCGCTGATGCCGACTGACAGCTTTTTCCAGACAGCAGATGGAAAATGGGAGAGGAGATTGGGCCAAAAGAACAACAGAGTATAATATCGCCATGCAAGATTTCCATAGGCATTCTATCAAGAAGCAGCTGTGTGAGATGCCTTTTTGTCTGATTACATTACTTTGGCCCTTGTCTCGTAATCTAAACGAAGCCCATGTGTTCCGCTGTTGTCAGTTTACTTAAGGGTTTCCTGGGTTCGTTTTTTATTGTTTTCGTTCTCACTCGAAAATAAGAGTGAAACACGCAATCTGACCCACGATGGTGCTCTTTCATATTTCTTTTGACAGTACTTCCTGATACTTAAAAAATATATATGGTTATCTATGCTCTGTGTGCAAAAGCAGTACGCCCCACCTCAGTACGCTTGTCATATTCTGTATCAAAACTGTAATAACTGATACATGGGCCAGACATCTGGCTGCATTTTGGAGGATTTGGCTACAGCTGCAAAGTCCAATGAAGAAAGGCAATAATTCTGGGCAAAGCCAGACACAGGTTTCTGAGGTTATTGACCATACCAGACTAATCGTGCGGACGTTATACTGTTTAAAAACATCCTGTAACAATTGCTTTAATGTTAGTTCATGAGTAAATTCTTCTTCTTCAGAGGCCAGAGCAAAGGGTGACGTTCCAAACAAGTACGTGCTGTCATCAGAGACGCAGGGGAAGGTGAGCTATTTGGAGACATTTAACTGTATGGACACAAGTATCCACAACTCTGAGTTCTATTTGGGGTCAAACAGAGCTAATTTAAAAAAACTATGAAATACTGAGATAAAAAGGTTTGAAGTCATTGGAATATGAACAAAAATGAAAGACACTAACATACTGAATAATGTGGCTAATCTTGCAAGACTCACTACTGAGCACACCTTCAGTTTAAATTAGTCCACTCTTCTAAATACGAGGCGACTTTGGGACTTCAGGTGTCAAAGGCCTCACCTGCAGCACTATCAGGGGCAACAGGTAAGTTTGCTGCTCTTGCGCATCCCCAAAACTTCCACGCAGCAAGACAATGCCCGTGACTTCCAAAGTCTCCCCCATCTGCTAATTACAAACTGAAAACTCAAGGTTTTTATGTGCGTTTGGGGAGAGCTGTAACCTGAGAGAGAGAAAAATTAAACCCTCTGTACCAAGCAAGCTTCAGAAGTAGGTGACCTGAAGTTTTCCCCACGGCCTCTAGGTTTCCTTCCTTCTGCAGACTGACAGGCATGCTCTTTCAGTTGAGTAAGAAAAGCCCAGACGCTCAAAAACATTCTCTCAGGGTTTGGGGACAAGCCAAGGTGCACAGGGCAGCCAGTCGGACATTTTTTTCCCCTGCATTTTTACCTCTAACCCAGCCATCTTTTCCAAACCTTCCCAGCACGCACCCCGCCTCACCTTGATGTGGGAAGCATTAATGTAGCCCGTGTTATTTTCTTTGGTCGGTATCAGTTCTACTCGATTCTCCTCGTAGGGGACAACTTCGCGGATCCGGCTGCGCTCAGCATTTTCGGGCAGAGCCGCTGTGCTGAAAATGCCGTTCGCCTTTTTCTTTGGGATTTGCTCATATTCCGTGAACACCATCCCCTCTTCAAGCTTCTTCTTCAGGGTTCTGAACTGCAACAGAAAGGAATCTTCAGCTCACTGAACTGTTTTAACCAAACCTCCCACACCTCCCTCCCAAGAAACCCAACAAAACAAGCAGGTGTCTTTAAACATTGACAGCGATGGTGTTAAGAAGTACTTTCAAGATGGCCAATGGAAGCTGGATGATTTGGTCTCATTATTAACCATATTGCTACTTCCCATAACCAATCTCCTTTGCCCTTATACCTTCCATAGGACAAATCTGCAAGACCAGGCAAGAGCTGAAATTCACAACTGCTATTTTTGTTATTAACGGCTCTGTGTAAGGTCTTAATGTAAGGACATCTTGGGTTTTAATTATCCACACATCCTTTTCTCCACATACACAGCTCCTTTTACTGGGCTGAATTTTAACATGTTACTGGTGCACAGTCCTGCAGTTCCGAGGATTAAAATAAAAGTCCCTCTCCTTTTATTTTTCCTATGGCCAAACCCCTACTTACAATAATAGGTATTAATTGGATTAAATAATTCCTTTAGAGTCCCTTCTGGCTTTCAAAACATCCTAATACTTCACATATACTGACAGGAATCTAAAACCCTCATGGTATTAGCCCTCTACACCTGTTTTTTAATAGCAATTTCAGGAACCAAAGGAACACCTTTCTTCATTGTAAAATACTAGCGTGGAATTTAAGCAGCATATTAAAAGAGCTCTGTAAACGCTTGGGTAAAACGCTTACTTTCTAAACAATGGCAATCATTCATAAACGTCATCGACATCGAGAGCCACGGCAATTGTTTAACTTTCTCCCTTTGCAAAAAGGGAAAGAGGCCCGAAGACGCTGAGTGACTTGACCTGGGTAGGCCCCATGGTCAAGGGCTTGGTCTCTTCAGGCAGCCATCGCTGTGCCAACTTGACAAAGAAACATGAGATTCTTGGAACAGACCCACTTATTACAACACAGCTAGACTACGTCTCGCTAATCTCAAATAGAAGAATTAATTCATCAAATAAACCCTAGCGCTGGCGTGTTTGGGCAAGGAGAGGGCTTTGGAATCCTCAGAGCACAGGGAGTGGGTCACATGCCTGACAAGCCCGGTGCTTACCCTCTCGTCCATGGGAATCCGGGTGCCGTCAGCTCGACCGTCCTCCCGCCCCGAGACCCGAGCAACCGAGAGCCCGTTCAGCGCTGCCAACATCAGCGGCCTCTTCTGCGCCTCCAGACCTGCCATCTTCTGCTTCTCTAGATTCTTGTGGCAAGAAAAGGCATGTTCTCATTGTTTATAATACCAGTCCAGTTCTGGAATGCATTTTAATCTCCCCAAATCTGTGACTCTCCAGCCAAGGAATGCAGACACTCACCACTAGCAGGGCAAATCCAAACGCAGCCTACCCATCCTCTCCCACTGTGCCGAGGGAGCCCCTTTCTACACAGCTCTCGTTTTAAAATAGATGAATCCATGAGCAAACAACAAGCAAACAGGAGCAAAGACTCCATACAAATGCATCCTGCAACAGGGCTCACCAAAAACAAATAAAAAACCCCCAATGTACAAGCAAGGTACTAATACACCCTGTGACAGGGGCTCACCAAAAAATTAAAAAAAAACAAACCCACAAAAAACACACACTGTGTGATGCATTGTTTAGAGATCTGAACACACAAATCGTAAAAAAAAAACGAAACCTGCTCAAGTTTCCATTCTAAGGGGCTCACTGGAAGGATGTTAATCCTGTACTGAACCTCCAATCCTTGAGATGTCACCCCCAGGATGAGAGCTGATGTGACTTAGCCAACGAGCTCCCACCAGAGCCTGGGGCCAGCTAGGACGATGCCCCGGGCAGTCCCTTCCTGAAGGACGGAGTGGACGCCACCGCTCCCGATGACTGTGATGGGACCCCACTGACGAGACCCAGCTGTGAGAATACGGAGTTGGGGGCTGAGCAGACCACGCAGGGAAAGGCTGGAGGTTGACACCTGGCCCTCGGTGGCTTCCAGGAGGCCTCTTGGTCCTCACCTGCACTGTGATCTGTGGCTGGTTCGCTCGGTCAGGGCCCGGGTGCCAGACCCCCTGCTGTGCTGCCTCAGGTCCTCTCTGCTGGGCCAGGCACACAACACCTCCTGTTACTCACGTCTGGCAACCCACTTAGCGCATGTCCCCAAAACCATTTTGTCGTAAAGGCGGAAGAACTGAGGGACTTCATAAAGCATGGGGGGATTTGGGGCCAAATGGAAGTGCAAGCAATTTGCAGACTGCCTTGGCTGCTGCACAGGAAGGGGTCCTCTTAGCCCCGGTTTCTTTTCAAGTCTTTTGGTGGATTTGCTTAGTCCGTCATTTACAGATTTACTCCCCAGAAAGAGGTGTCTTGATGGGACCATGACGCTGGCAGATGGCACAGAGTCAGAGGGTTATTCTGACAATGGTGAGGGGATGGCACCTCCCTCATTCCCTGGGTTCTGCCTGCACCCAGAACAGCTCAGCATTGAGAGCAACACGGCCACCCATACGAGGAAAGGGCATTTGTGAGTGGCATTGACCTTGAGGTAAAGTGTCTCCTCTGGACACAGAAAGCAAGTGCTCAATGCTTCTCTCTCACATCAGTGTTTCTCTCTCCTTCCACCACCTCTCCCCAGTCTCTCTAAAATCAATAAACATCCTCAGGGGAGAATTAAAACAAAATTAATGACCCTACAAAAAATTGGGTTTTCTATCCCAGGCAGATTTAGAAAAATCTGAATTTACATGTTTGGGCTTTTTGTTGTTTGCTTACAAATTTGTTTTTGTGAGAGATAAATTTCCCCCCTATTATCTCTTCAGCTGAGAATTGGTTTCCCAACTCCGAGAAGTTTTGAGAGCAGTAATTTTGGAAAATACGGGCCTGCGGTCCCTCCGATAGGCCCACCCGCAGGGCAGGTGCCTCTCACGGGCCCCCGAGGCAACAAGCCAGGAACTTGCCTGGCGGGAAAGGAAAGCCCAGGAATAAACTATCTCTCTTGGCTCCTTCTCATGTACGCTATCAGCTTATTACAAGAGACAAAAGAGGAAAAAGAAAATAAAGAACTGATTTGGCCTTTTCTCTTCCCGACAGCAGATTTCAGGTCCGGGGCTAAATGTAGTCGGGCAGCAGCAGGAGCCAGAAAGAGCAGCTACCCAGACAGCAGGCCCGGGCCATGGAGTTCTCACCACCCTGGGCTGAATTTTCTCTCTGTTCTTCCTACCCTAAGAGGCCCAGCCTTCTCTTCTCATCTGTTTCTAACAAGCCAGGCCAAAGCTGCCGGTTGGTGGGGCGGGAGGAGGAGCATCCGGTGTGTGGAGAGGAGGCTGGGGTGAGCTTCTTCCTCCAAAACCGGATGGAGAACCACACGACACTGTCCCCATCACGCCTGACACGCTGGTTTGCTGAGGAACCTCCCGACCCTGGGCTGAGGTCAAGACACCAGCCCCAGAGGCAGTCTGGGGGCTCCCAAGTGTGTTTCGCTGGGGGCACCGGTGAAAATTCAAGGGAGAGAGTGTAGTAGGGACGGGGCACCAATGCTCCTGAACTACAAGGTAAGGGTGAAGTCAGCCATTCGCTACCACCCATCTGGACAGGACGGGACACACACATGGTACCCAGGGGCAGCCCCTTGCTGCCTGGTGATTATGCATGAAGTTCTCCGCAGCGAATCCATGCCGTGAGACTGGCTACAGTCTTCTGTTTAGTACAGGTAACATGAGAAGTGGAGGGACCTGACCAAAAATGAGCCCAGAGGACCATCAATAAACATCGAGCCAGAGAAGTTGCTGAGCTGTGTGTTAAAGGAGGGCGCCTGGAACCAGAAAGTGCCGAAAAGCCCTTTCTACCATAAATTACACAGCTTCCCACAAGGCACCCAGCTCAAATTCCATCCCCCCAGCCAAGAGGCTGGATCACCCGAGGAGCGAACGCATCAGTCAAAATTTTCCCTCCAGGTTTGCAAGCAGTGGAAAAAGTTACACCTGCCCCAAATGCTTAGCCCTAGTCCACTGACGGCCAGAACTGTGAGGCCGAGAGAGTTCTTAAAATGTGTCTAAAATAACAGAGTTTTCCAAATTAGATCCCTGAACCCCAGAACTTGGCTTCCTTAAAACACTGGCCCTTGACTGTTCGTTGCAGGTTGATTCCCACTGGAGACTCGGGGAGACTAATGAATGAAGGAAGTCTAAGGAATGGCGTTCAGGGCAAATTTTAAGTTACAACAGCTCCAGAGTTCCTAAAATATGCCGGGGCGCCTTAAGGAATGTGTGTGGCACTTGCATAGGGGAAGTCACTCTGGGTTTGATTCGTTGTCATGAAATTATTTTTTATTTTTAAAGGAGTGAAAATTTCCAGGACCAGCAGTAATGGTGTTCTGGAGTATTTTCTGAAGTAGCAGCGACAACCTAGCAATTTTCTCTTCTGTAGGGAGAACCGGCTCTGCTATTGTATGGACACACCTGGTACTGCACGCTCCCCTGTGCTGACACCACCTGGGCCTTCCAGAAGGTGCATTTCTGACGAAGGGTTTCTCAGGTCTAACAGCAGGCCTGTTCCAATGTTGTGTGTGCATGTGTGTCTCTACGGATGTATGTGCGTGTGTGAATCTACATATGTGTATCTGAATTCTTGATAGACTAAGGTTAACGGGAGTTGAAGCTCAATGGTAAACTTCCAAGTTCATGGTAATGTTCTTGGCTTTGTGTTTCACATCTATGGAACAAAGACCCGAAAACCATGCTCTGGTCACCATTGGTGAGCCGCCCTGCCATACAGATGGACGCAGAAAGCTCCTAAGAGATGTTGCTCTTTTAATATCTAACTGGGGGAAAAAATGCTTTCTTCTGGGAAAACCCTCCAAAATGTCAACAGGTGTAGGAAGGTGAGCTCCTCACAGCTCACACGGTAAGTCTGATCCTGAGCAAACAGCAAAATGCTGGCCAGGACCCCAATCCCAGCACCACCGACCTGTAACTCCGAGACTGCTCTTTGTACCAAGAATGGGAGATCTATTTGAAGGAACAAAAACAAGGTTTTGTGGAATAAAATAGCACCTGTTTAACTGCCAGGGGAGTCTCTGAATCCCTAACACCTTCTCCGAAGGAGCCTCACACCTTCTGTGGTGTCCACGATGAACTGTCCCAGGGACAAGGGCCCCAGGGGGTTCGGGGGGCACCAGCCTGTGTACCCGCCCCCCAGCGTGCCCTGGGCGGGGACAACACTTACCCTGATCATCATCTCTCTTTCTATAATGCTGTCCTCCAGGGAAAACATCTCGGACACGGGCCTCTCCTTCACGGGCTCCTTTTTGACCCGCTCCTTCACACTTGTCAGGTCGGGTTCTGAGATGGACGGACCGAGGGAGGCCCCGTTGACGGCCAGCTGGTCGGCGCGGGAGACACCGACGGCCTTGGCCGGCCCGTGCCTCAGCACCCTGGCTCTGGCGACGGCAGGAGGAAGGCTAACCTGGTCCTGCCTCAGCGCCCCATTGCTGACGCTCTTCCTCGGGCCCGGGTACTCGGGAGGGGGTTTGTTGGGGATGCGGGCTAAGGCCGCCTGCAGCTGGGCGCTGTACTCCATGTTCTCACGGAGCCCGGGGATCCGGGCCACCGATTCCGCCTCCTCCTCCTCCTCGCTCTCGCTGCTGTGGATCAGCATCGTGGCGTCCGAGAACGTCTTCTTGTGGTGGTACTGGGGCAGCGGGGGGACCTCGTGGCCCCCGGGCCCCTCCTTGGGGGGCCCCTGCTCCCGCAGCGTGTTGCGGCGAGCCATGGGGATGTTGAGGGACTTGAGCGTCATGGCTTCCATGCCCCGCACCATGCTGCTCATGACCTCCAGGCTGTGGCGCTTGTTCACCGTGCCATGGTGCTTGGTGGACATGAGGGGCTCGCTCACCTCCTGCAGCGACTGGTGCACTACAGGAGCGCTGTCCTCTTGGAAGGTCTTCACTGACAGCTGCACCTTGCGGGTCACCAGGTCGGGGCTGCTGCCGCTGACGTACTTGTGGCGGTGACTGGCCAGGTCAGGGGTGCTCGTGGCGGGGCGGGGCCGTGGGTAGGGGGGCGGCGGTCTGAAGAGATAGTTTTTGAGCATGTGGGCCGTGTTGTGGCTATGGGTGCCCTGGAGCTGCATGTTGGCCAGCTCCGGGGTGCTCACCGTGTGGGAGATGGCACTTGCCCCGGGCTTGCTGGGCACTGAGCTATTCTTTGGGTTTATCTGATCAGATGGACCGACAAGTTTGTTACTATAGCCCCCCTGTGGCCCATAAGGGACAGTGTAGGGGTGCCTCTCCCGCATCTCCGGCTGGCTGTACACCAGGTCCTCCGGCTGGTTGTAGGCATGGGTGTTGATGATGTTGAGATTTCGCAGGGACTGGCTCTGGCTGTCTGTGTGCACGAGCCCCCTCTTCATCTGGCGCATGACCGTGTCGTAGTCGGGGGTCGGCCGGTACGACGGCACGATGATCGCGCTGTGCCGGTGGCTGGGGATGTAGTCGGCACGCATGATGTCGCTGCCAGGGATACTGAGGTTGGAAGACACGGGAGACGCCTGGATGAAGCTCTGGGAGCAGTTCAGGGAGTTGACGCTGTGCACGCTACACACGCTGCCGTTGGCGATGGTGCCGTTTAGGTAATTCAAGTCCAGGCTGTTGTGGGAGTTGCAGTAGAAGGCATCTTCGTTCCCGTGGAAAATGCTGTCTACGAGAGGTCAGACAAAGGCACATGAACCTCCACGCCGCCCTGCTTCAATTAAATTCATCCTTACACTCACGGGGGTGACTTTTAACCTAAAGAAGTCGGAAAGAGCGCAAAGCCATGGGCTCCACCCACACATTCCCTAGAAACCTGAACATTTCTCGGATGAGATGCCAACCTACAGAAGGAAACATTTTAAAGCATGCCGAAAAGGAAAAGGGAATCTAAACAAGGAAGACAGTGAACATCTGGACTTGACACCCCCTTGGTAAATTCTCAATTGTACCACGAGGTGTGAAGTCAGGCAGCGTGCATGGCCTCCATGCTGGGAGACCTCTTCTCTTGCTCAGGGCTCAGCAACAGGACGGGCTACCTGGGCCGAGGGGCCAAGAGCTTTCACGGGGCAATAGATTCGAAGTTACTGTGCACTTGGAGTTGATCTACAGTGCAAAAGGTCCCTCTACCAGAGGGACTGCTAAGTAATCATAAAGACACAAGACAGATAATATAGCCAGGGGGTCAGGAAGCATGGCTAACACCTTCTCATTAGCAATCAATGGAGGGCAAAGTAAGAATCAGGAATTCTTTTAGCCGCTGCCTAAAATTCACGGAGGCCAAGCCATGTAAAAATTAATCGTAGTTTACAGAGGTACCTAAAGAGATAACAAAACAGATTGGTAAAGTCAGGCCTGTCTGACTTAATCCTCAAAATAAACCTGTGGGGTAGGTGCTGTGACTATTCCAATTTACACGTACAGAGTTGGGCTACAGGGAGGGCATGGGAGGAGGTTGTACGTGCAGACCGGCGTCTCCGCCGCCAGCCAGTGCTCTCAATGGTGACCCTACCCGCACCTCAGAGAAGGAACGGTATTAAATGTAGAACATGGACCATGTTCAGTGGGAAGTGTCTTTCTGTGTTATCGTGTGCTGCTGTGTTGAATCTCTGCACTGTCCGTGTGAGCATGAAAGCTAAGATAATCGAGGCTACTGCATTTAATGCGACCCTGCCGTTCATGAGCAGACCAGAGTTAGTCTGGGCGTGCTCAGTGTTCCTTCAACACACATACACGTATACCCCTCAACCTCCTACCAAAACACTTTTCTGTGAGCAAACTCCAAGTATTGCTCACATTACGGATTTAATCATAAGCAAAGCAGAGGGAGAGACAAAGGCAGAAAAGATGACAAACAGAAGAAGTGACTGTAAACACTCCCTAGCAGGAGGGGTGTGGTCACGGACCAGAGGAGGTGAGTGGTTGAGCGACCCCAGGAGACCACACAGCCAAAGGCTGCCCTGACCCGCCTCTGCAGTTTGCTGGGGGTCAGTGCCCCCCCCCCCCGCAGAGGCAGACTAACTCTGGTCTGCTCATGAATGGCAGGGTCGCATTAAATGCAGTAGCCTCGATTATCTTAGCTTTCATGCTCACACGGACAGTGCAGAGATTTAACACAGCAGCACATGATAACTGAACATGGTCCATGTTCTATATTTAATACCGTTCCTTCTCTGAGGTGCGGGTAGGGTCACCATTGAGAGCACTGGCTGGCGGCGGAGATGCCGGTCTGCACATACAACCTCCTCCCATGCCCTCCCTGTATCCCAACTCTGTACGCGTAAATTGGAAATAGTCACAGCACCTACCCCACAGGTTTATTTTGAGGGTGAAAACAGGTGATACATTGCAAGTGTGAGAAGAGTGCTCAAGGAGAGGAATTTCTCTATAAATGTTAGTTGTCACAACAATAATTATTGTATTGGAATGGTTTGTTCACACATTTTGCACAGGAGTTTAAAAAGAGGAACGTCACGCATTTCCTTTGCAAGTGCTGGGAGAAAGGGGCTGGTGGGAGAGATGGGGGGCAATAGCTAATGTGAAGGGTAGACACGATTTGTGTATTTTTTCTGTTATCCCGGAGGCCTGTGTCCCCTGTCACCGTGAAAAACCATGCTGACTGTTACTGACAGTGCAGGTAAAAGGTATTCTGCGGGGCTTTGACGACACCCTCCCTTCTCTAAGCCCACTTACGAGAGGGAGGAGGAAAGAACCTTGTTCATGGCCTCTTCCCAACCCCCTTAGGAGCCAATTCTCAGGTCATTTTTCTCTCAGGGATAAACGATATTCTACACTTCTCACAAAATGAAGCTGCTTCCTGGGGCCATCCAGACAATGACAAGATTAAAAATGAAAGTGTCACTGTCATCTAAAAACAATACAACAAAGTCAACTTTCCTGCTCTCCCATAATCAGCTGTTCATCTTAAGGAGGGAAAATGGCAAGCCAGAGTTACCTTGTGAAGTGTGCGTTTCCGAGTAGTGTTCGCCACACTGGACGTGCATGGGCGGCAGGATGTACGGCTGCTGCCGGGGCTGAAACAGAGAAGACAGCACAGGTGGGGGGTCACAGCACTGAGGGCCGTCTGCTGCCCTGAATGTCCATCTGAGCATGGGACTGTCCCCAGCACCCGCCCTCGTCTGCAGGGCGGCGCACCAGGCCCCTCTGCCGCCCACCCTGGACCCAACCGCTCTCTCCTCATCCGTACCCAGCCCTCTGCACCCCATCACCGAGTCAGGGCTGCAGAAACAAGATGGGAGAAATAAGGAGGCTGCCTCAAGGTGAAAAGGACAGACAGCCTTGTTCATGTTCATCAACATGAACACATCTATTTCTAATCCACTTTCCAATGCACTTGCAAAGCTCCCGCTGCCTTGTTTCCAGAATGAAAATGCACACATTAGTAGGATACACGAACAATGGCTAGGATGCACTGGATTGTTCGGAGACTCGTTAGTAAGACCCAGGAATCCCACCATCTCCAAGAAACAAACTGCTTTTTCTTTCTAAGTACACGAGGCAACACTAACCTAAAATGGACAATGTCGTTGTTTTCTCAATTTTGTTTTTCAATTACAGTTCACATTGGGTGTTATTTTGTATTTGTTTCAGGTGCACAGCGCAATGCTTAGACAATCATGTCGGGGAGCACTTTGTAATATATGACTGTCTAACCAGTGCCTTTTGAAAAGGAGTAACAGGACCCATATATTACGAAGTTCCACATTACAGTAATGAGAATAAGGGGCACCCTGCCTCATTCTGTTCAAAACCGCTCCCTCCTGGAGCCCCGGGCATGTGCACACCCTCACAGCTGTACCCAGGACCCCAGTGCCCAGCACCCCATCATCCTCCAACAGGGCGGCAGCGTTAGGCTGGGCCCGCCTGCAAATTTACATAAAAATCACAAATGTGATTCTCAACAATGAGCCTCCAGTTCTCAAGACCACACACTGGCCCTCCCATTGGAGACTCAAATGTGGAAAGGTCCTGCCTGCGGAGAATCCAGGTCAACCGACTGCCCCTCTGGCCAAGAATCTTTTCCATTAGGCTCTTAACAATGGCCATTTAGTCTCAATCTATTTCCTGCCGGGAGGGAGGGCAGAAGTTGTGAAGAACGAAACAATGCTTAGGTAGATTCGATATTCGGTGAGCTGACAGAGGAAATGTGATTAGTTGCTAATGTGACCCTCAGCTACTCATTTAACCTCAGTAGGTCTCAGCTTCCTGTCAATCAAACCAAGCCTCCTCCCTCCCGTTCTTCAAACAGGATCCGTTTTATTTACATATTGGGGTTCTAGGTGAGACTTTGTTTGCAGAAAACTTTTGAACTTTAAAGTTGTAAACTACCAAGCAGAATGAGCTCTTACATTTCCATTTGATTATTTAAAAATTACAGATATTCATTAAAATGTGGCTGCTTTAGGAGAAAAACTGAGATGACACCAAAAAAAACAAGCCAAAGCCAGCAGGGGTCACACTTTCTCAGCATCTCTCAACAGAGGATGAGCATGTCCCAAAGTTCTGGGTAAATAACTTATCTTCTACGAATAATGCTTCAGCATCAAAGAAGGGGGGGGGAAGGAAAAGGATGCAAAAATGCTAAAAATCTGGGAAGAAGAAATAAAGATTTGAAATTAATGTAAGAAAGTTCAGGGTACCAAAACAAAAGGCGTTATATCAGCTCTCCTAAATATTCCCAAATCTCCTTTGGCAGGTTTTTGAGTTGCAATTAAAAAATATTTTTCCAATTCTTAGTAAAACATAATTCAACTCAATTTTTCCAGGGTAAAACAACCAGTTTGGAGGATTAAAAAAAAATGACGGGGAGGAATTCATGCAAGGGAATGGAAATACAGGCAGTGGTGGCTCACACTGCCTTCTCTTTCTCTCATTAAAAAAAAAAAAAAAAACCAAAAAACTGTTTATGAACTGGTATAAGTATACAGGCAAAGTATACAGACAATAATAAGTAATCCCCCGACACCATTTCAGGATTACATTATTTATTCCACCTTTTACATCTGCTAGTATATTATTCTATTTCTTTCTGGACCTGCTAATACAAAAACCAGTGGCAGGCCAAAATATAGGCAGAAGGTCAAGGGAAAGGGCAACCAGGCCTCCTGGGTACCAGCAAGGAAGCCAAAGGAAACGATGTTATCTGGTTCGACTCCTTCCTACTCAGTCCTAGGAGCCTCTGGTGAAGTGGTTCAATCCTAAGAGGCAGAGGAAAGAGAGAAGCCAGGACTCTGGCTTCCTGTCGACTATCTTCCTCCAAATCCAAGAGGAAAGCCTCTACCTCTTCTCCAGATAATTAGAATGAGATTAGATCACAAGACAGGAGGAAAACACTTTGTTCCTTGCACAGATAGGAAAACTTATCTCACTAATAAAAACATGTGGTGTCTAAAGAAGGGAAAATGAAAATAATATTCACAAAGGAGAAGAATAAAGACACCAGTGCTGTAAACAAAGCTCCCCGGTCCTCCAGGAGAAGGGCTCCAAGTGACCCCTAGATCCCTGAAGCAAGTGCACTTGGCAGACAGCGTGCGTAAAGAATGCCAAGATGCGTGGCATTCACACGGATGCCCAGGAATTAGTGTGTGATGATATAACTCTAGAATTCCAGGAGGTCATATCTATGCATCCCCCACCCACAAAAAAATTCCTCAAAACTGTCCTTTGAAAGCCAAATTAAATATATATAATTCTTGTATACTCTATATACATTATGTATAGCAATTTTCTATTTTGTTTGTCTTTGAACTCAAAGAAACTATTCATCTAGAAAAATTAAAAGGTCGCATGTTTAACTATGTACAAAACATCATAACCTAGAGTAAAGAATCATGACTTAAAACAAGTAGAAACCTTTGAAGAAAATCAATTCTTCGATACCTTTCTATTATATTACCCTTAAGAAATCCTCAGAATAAAACACAGCCTAAGACAAAAACACATGTATTGAAATTAGAGTTGTGTTTCTTTATTCACATAATGAGGAGAGCAATTTAAAATTTTTTAAAAAGCTAATGTCAGGTAGAAAGTGGATGCATTCAAATTTTGTTGCCCTTAAAATCAGGAAAAGCGCATTTAATCTTCTCCATTGAGTGCCTGACCTGAGAACATCAACTAGGCTCATTCAATTTCTGCTCATCTAAAAAGCATTTTCTGATGGGTTTACTAAGCTCTGTCTGTGGCAGTGAACACAAAAGAATCTGTGGAGCTTTTATCTGAAGGCATGTCTACACATTTCAACCAGAGAGAGTTTATTAAAACAACAGATGAAAACAAGTTGATAGCAACAGGAGGCCACAGGCTGCGGGGCCTCATCGTCCTGGAATAAGACTCCCTCACGGGGGCGAACCTGGCCCTGAGCCACACTGAGACAAGTGACGGGCGTGACGGGCACAGTGGGACAGCACAGATGTGCATCACATGTACTTGGCAGACTGAGGCCCTTCTGTGTTCTCACCTGGTCACGATGCCCTAGTCACCTCTCCTCTCAAATTAGCAACGAAAGGACACTCCATCTCAACAGACGAACTACTCGATTACTGACGATCGTATACATACCAGAGAGTTTCGGCTCCAGGTGGGCTGGCGTCTGATGGGGGGTGGAGAATTGGACTGTCTACATGAAGAGTTGAAAAATAAGAATGGTTATTATTTACTAGATATAAGACAGACAAGATGGTAAGACTAACGGTGAACCATAAACATTATTTCTGTGTGAGTAAAGCTAAGAACAGTTCCGATGTCTCCTTTTATTCTTTTCTTTATTTTCAAAAGGTTTGGAACATATGGTACTTTTACACAAAGTTTGCAAAGTGATTTGAGAAGAATGAAGCTTATTGCTTAAGAAAGATGATGAAGGAAACAAGACAAACATTCTACCACTATTACCTGGATGTAAAAAAAATTGTATTTTTGCACCTTTGTATATATGTAAAAATCTTTCATAGTAAAAAAAACCAAAAATATTTTTAAAATATTGCCAAAATGAAAAATTAAAAATCCAAAATAAATGAAATATTTTCAGGTACAAAGGTATTTTTAAATAAGATAATACATATTACAAATATCCATCGAATCAAATCTTTTCCAGAATGAGACTCAACATGATTCTCTTAAAAATACAGAGTTAGAAATGAGTGGGGATTAAGAATATTATCAAATTCTCAAGAACTGAAATCAAAGGTGCCTTTGAGAAATAAGTCTCCCAAACCCAGACATGCACAGTGGGACATCAAGCTAAAATTCTTCAATTTAAAGCATTCCCCTTATTTTGATATTTCATTTTTCTTACTTTTTTGGTGATAAAAATATCTTTTTTTAGCGAAATGTTGGAAACTATAATATAGTGATATTGGAATTTTTTAAGTGGCCAAATGCAATATTATTAAACTTATTGTTAAACACCCTTCTCTCTCCCCTCTACATTTTTTCTCCCCAAGTGAAGAAACAAGGGAACCATGCCCTGGAGCTATTTCAGCAGGTGGACAAGTAGTAACTCAGAGAGAGAAGGAAAAAAATCAGTGACAGTCTCTCGGAAGTCAGAGAGCGGAGCCCTCTGGAAAAGGAAGCCGTCGAGATGACGCTGGTTTCATCAAACTCCAGAGGTTGTCCAGGCCTCAGCGGAGCCTGTGCTGAGACTCCGCAACTGTCTGCAGACTTTTCTGTGTGTGTGGGGAGTGGGTGTGCTTTCAGGAGTCCCAGTTTTTCTCAGGTAGGAAGTTAGGAGCCTCCCACACCTGGCTGGCTATTGTAAAAGTAGAAAGGAAAAATATCGTTTCCTGAGTTTTCGGTCTAATATGTGATGCTTGCCGATATTTAAAAAAAACACCACACACACAAAAACTAGTCTGTAAATTTTATAGTTAAGGTTCTTGTTGAGAAATGGTCCAACCAGAATTTTATTACAATAACATTCACTTCTTCACGTACTTTTTAAGTCACCTTAATGAAGCTGACTATAGAACTCTTGTTAATGTCAAAGACACCCCCACACACGAAAAGCAACAACTGCAAAGAGAAAGAACTCAAGGACGCGAACAAAGGTGTGGTGATTGAAGGGAAGGGGGGAGGTGCAGGTGGAGGCGGGGATAGGGAGACAAATGGTGATGGGAAGCAAAAAGAATAACTGCAAAGAAATGCCCTGGAGGGAATCTGTCCAAAAGAAAGCCCGGTGTGCGTGCGTGTCCATGAGGTAGCTCTGGCAACTTAATTTGCCACTCCCCAATCGGGGCTCTTCTGAGGGACACCTGCAAACTCTGCCGGCAGATCTAACACTATCGAATGCGCTTCCAGGCTCTGACAGTGGCCAATTGCAGGGACTGCTGTGAAAGAGCTTCCATCACGAAGAGAAAAAAGTCTGCCGGCACCCGATGATGCACTTTCTAAAATACGCTCTTCGGCAGAACTGCGTTAGGACCACACTCGCACACTCTTGGATGTGTCCACTGGGAGAGTGGAAAGGCAGTCCTTCTCTTGCATTTACATCGCCGAAGTTCTTTGAAACAAAATTAAACACTCTGGGCACCCCAACGGCCGGCGCACTCTGCCGAGGAACACCTTTTGAAGGCAGCCAAGGTAAAGGCAAAGATAGCGTGAGGCCCAGCACGCCGTATCCAAGGTCAGGTCACATTTAAGTTCCCTCATCAGACTCCCTTTATCCTCCTGATTTCCAAATTAAATTTAAAACACACACACACGGACTTCTGACATCTATTAGTGTCTTCCAAGGTGTCCTCTAATTACCCTGGCCTCTCATTTGCAGGGAGATGACATGACCCAGAAGCACACGCAGGGTTGCCCAACTGTGTAAGCGAAACGGGGCTGAGGATGACAGGAGCTTCTTCCCTTTCAAGCTGGCTCGTCACCGTGTCGCACACTTCTGAACATCCTCCGCATCTGACACGAAGGGGCACCCTGGCAAATTGGGAACGGCTCCGTTCCTCCAAACTCATCGCAGAGGTTGGGAAGGCACTAATAGTAATAGTGGGCCATCCAGGCAGTCAGACATCGCAGTCAATTTGTGAATTATCTCCTCTCTCGGCACAGGCACTAACTACACCACACGGGCTTCATCATTAAAGTGCTCTCACTCCTGCTTGGCTTTCACTCATTCCTTCAGCTTCTACAAGGAGCACGGGAACAGAGCGACCGGAAAAAGTGACCGACGACATCCCTCGAGCCCATGAGTCTAATCCAACCAAACCATCCCTCGAGAAGACAGATGAAACGTTTACTTACTCAGTGCAGATTTTGTTTTGTTTGTAAAACTTGTGCCGTGTAGCAAACAACCGAGAAATATACTTGGCATTTTCAATATCATCCTGGGAAAAGACGAGACAGAGGGAAAAAATGAACATTTCTTTGATTACATATGCATTTGACAAGGATTCTTCTAAATGGGGACACGTTCCCTTCCTCCCTTCCTGCCCATCACAAAATAACACCCTGAGCCACAAACTAATGAGCTGAAATTGAGTGGCAGGCAGGTATATGAGGCCCCTCAAAGGATGACGAGACCAGGTTGTCTGCTAAAGAATCCTTTGTGCCCATGGCATTGAGGTTACGTTGATGAACTGGTGTGTTTTCCCATAATTCCAAACCAAGTGCTTTACAAATGAATGAATGAGTGAACGAATCCAGGGAGAGCACAGAATGAATGAACACCAAGCATCATTCAATGAGCAGCAGAGAGATGCATGAACAGCCTGGGCTCTCAAGGAGGCCCTCAACAGGACAATGGCTCCACTGACTTTTGGGCTACAAGGAGGAAGAATATCCAGGTCAGCCAGCAAAAGCAAATGCCGCGTGATAGCCTCAGGGGTCACGTGATGAGGGCTGCAACTAGAGCGCAGAGGCATGTGGCCAGCCAGGTAACGTGACCCGTCACAAATAAGGCAGGTGGAGGAATTCAGATCCAAGAATCAATACTCAGTGTGGAAAGGAGGCATGTTGAACATGAAATCACGACCACTATCCTGAAGAAGTCATGACAGCACTGGGTAAGTATTGCAAGTTTAAGTACAACAGAACTTTCTCTCAAGGTGTGGAGAGCAAGGGAAGGATAGTAGGAGTTGAGAAGTTCAAGAGCAAGCTGCCTGCTGGAACCTGCCTTTGTCCACGTGGCTTACCGTGTGAAAGAGCACAGTCTCTTCTTTGTTGATGAGCTCCACCAGGATGGTCGACTTGTTATGAGTGATATTCCCCAAATCATTCCACCTGATCAAAAGAAAGGCAACAAGTTTGCCCCCAAATGGTCCATGCATTAGTGAATCCACGCCGGAGGGTCCCTGGCTACTGCTGAATCTAATTTTATATATGACGGTTTAGCTGCATTTTTAAAAGCTAAATGTTCCTTCTCACAGGCTTAAAAGTACAGAAAATGCAACATGCATCTAAATAGCTAAAAATCCTATGTAAACTACATCTAGATACTGTCGTTGGTGAAGTATCGTTTCCTTTATGACTAGTAGGAGGAAAATTTGCAAGGCACTTCTGCTGCCTTGTTTTACACGTTTTCAAACTGATGAAGTATTTCTTATGATCCCAACTTTTAATGATGGTGGAACACATTATTTGAAGTTCATATGTTCCCGGAATCTAGGCCGAAGAACCCACATAGAGTCCATGCTGTAACGTACATCACTGATTACATCACCTTGGAAAAATGCCTAGGAGGTGTTTCATGGGCCTACATTTTTGTGAATTAAACACACGCATCCTTCTCCTTCCCCATGGAGACCTTATCTAAAATGTGACACACAGGAATAAGCACCAGACAAGGGAAGGAAGCTATTGTTGCCCATTCTACTCAGAGCCAACTTCTAACCGTCTCTCATTACTGCCTACCCTGCAGTCTCTGCACCAACCTCTAATGCCTGCCCCCGACTTCACCCCCTCATGCTTTTCCTCACTACACTTCCACCTCTGCCCAGATGATCCCCTTAAGACTCAGCTGAGGAGTCACCTTCTCTAGGAAGTCCTTCCTCATCCCCAACCACCCACCTACTAGCAAGGAACCTGGTGTCTTGCTCTGTCAGTTACGACTGCATGACAATCGCTTACTTCTGTGAGTAGATCTCTAACAAATCCAAACTAGGCTATAGCCCCATACCCTGGGTAGAGATTCTGCTTTCTTCATTTCTGTATTCCAAGCCCTGAGCCATATACCTGGCACACAGCACACACTAAATGTTTGCTGGAAAAATTAAAAGTAAGAATGTCGTCTCCCATCTGTAAGGAGTACAGTTCTTTGTGGTTCTAAGGCAGAGAAGGAACCTACTTTGGAGACGAGGCAACTCAGGCACAAATGAGTACATGCCTTAACCATGGTCACTCTGCCCATCGGAGACGGAGGACTTCTGTACCTGGGGCTTCCAGGTTTTCCTCCAACCACCTTTCCGTGACCCCAGCACCAACTGCGCTTACGTACATCTGCCGGGTGGCACTGGCTACAGGTGCTCGGCACAGCTGCCTGCTAACTTGAAATCCCGTCAGATCACACCTACGTGGCCTCATAGCTACATGCTTCCCAGCGAAGGTCTCTAGAGAGAAAAGCCATTTGGTTTCCCCTGGCTGCATGCCTTCAAGTCAACTGCCACAACCCTGAATCTATTCCTCACCACAGCGTATGACTTCACCAAGTGGCATGATTAATATGACATCATAGTAGAGAAAAGTCCCACCTTGTAAGGGGTTTCATGAGAAGTACCAAAGGAAGCGGTCTGGAAGCAGTTTCCAAGGAAACTGAACAATTCCTGGGAGTGACTTATGATAGGCAAACTTTCGAATTGCTATTTTCTTCTACAAGGCACTGATTTAGCTGTGGAGAAATCACCACCACTATCTTGAAATCAGCCCTGGGCATGTACTGGAAAGCTATTGGTTCAATGGAATATTTATTCTCTTAGGCCAAGAAGAACTATGTAGGGCCAAATGCCTGGATAGCTTTAAATGGGCATAAAACTTTAGTTACAACTCTGTACCTATTTCTATATTTTACTCAGTTAATTGGTAATGTCTTGTAGGTAAATGGAGTTAACAAAATATGTCCAAAAAGAAAGTTTATTCTGTAACCCTAAAGATCTCTCTCCCCACTCACGCTTCAATAATGCCTCTATTCAAAGAGCATGAGAAAAATCAAGGACAAAAATAATGACAGGGTGGGGACCAAGGGTGGGGGGAGAGGTCGATTAGGAAACTTTTGGTGGGAAAAGTTTCTCAACACAGCCAGCAGCAACTGCTGACCCAGAGAGTACGTCGCTGGCCGATGTTTACTGCCAGAAGGTGAACCGTGCTTCTTCTCTACGACCTGCCTTTGATCTCCTGCCCAAACACACCGCTCCACCCATCCGATGCACACACAGTAACACTGTTCTTCCAGAAACAACAGGCCCTAGTTCCTGGGGAATAAAAGCAAGCATGCAAATTCTTTAGACCGTTGACACTACCTGGAATCCGTGGGCGCAAATAGAGAGCAAGCCCACTGACATGTAATTGAGGGGACACACTGGCATGTTCCTCATGTCAAATGGAAAAGAGGGTTAAAGGGTCAAAATAGTCCAAAGTCCTTTATAACGAATTGTTTGCTTTTTAAAAACACACTCACAAATGAATCTGCATTTGTGAATATAAAGACTTAGTTTGTATCCTTCTGTGGTTAGGCAGAGGGTACAGGACAAGGGGGAGAGGCCGGTCTGAATGTAATGACTGGTCATGGGGACCCCAGCAGAGGGTCAGCGAGAGACAACCGGAGAGCCTGTTTTCAGCCAGACTTGCAAACTTGACTTCCCTTAGTCCCTGCTCTTGACAATGTGCTTTCTAGCGTCAGGTGGGAAGAAGGCTTCCCCCATCTTCCACCCCAGACAGATTCCAGGAAAAGAGATGAATCTCTCCAAGTCTGCTTAAATCCCAGAGAGCTGGCATTCACTGAGTTGATAAAGCTCAGCTCTGACTCAACCCATTCGTACAACTTTGATGTTCAGTGGGTTTTTCTAGAGTCTCTCAAAGAGAAAAAAAGAAAGAAAGGAGAAAAGGCAAATAAGACTACCTGTGTATCACTGCTTGTCTTCCGATTCTGTTCCTCACGAAAATCCCCATAAAGAAAATGCCCAGGTGCACACCGTTTCCATGATTGTCCTGTATCAGATCAATAAAAGACAGTCGTGAGGGCGCAGATCACCAGTGAGCGGGCTGGCAGCGCCGGGCACTTGGGCTGCCGCAACCTGGGGGGACCACGCCCCCTTTCTCGCCCCCAGATGCAACGAGTCACAGGCATCTAGACCCTGAAGGAATGCACCTCACTGCACATCATATGTATTATTTGCATGTATTTCCCTTTTTCTCAATTTGTCGAGACACATTTTCTGTGTTAAAGAACTTTAGGTTTTGAGGTTTTTTTTAGCACTTCAGATTTTCCCTTTCCCGATCATTTACGGATATCTCGTTTTACCTTGGTTTTTGTTTTTTAAGTCAAAACTTAAGAAACATGCACACAGCTTCATTACATATGCACGTTACGTACGTGCAATTATATACGCACGTAGTTTGAAGATGTATCTTTAGAGCTTGTTTAAAAGGAGTCGACAGCAGACCCGGCCCCACAACTTCCTCTTCCTTGGAGGCACCAACTTCCATGCTTAAAGCCCTACTGTGTGCCTTAGAGGAACTGACTAAGCTTGGCTTTCTACTTTGGAACCTCATGGTTATCAGTTCTGGGACACTTTCTCGAATTACTACCTCTTGTTTCCTCTGCTTCCTCCTTTTATAACCCCTGTGATTCGGAGGCCGGACTTCCTAAGCTGGTCCTCTAATTTTGTCTTCTGCCTCCCACATGCCATTAGTTTTTTGGCGAGATTTTCTTAATTCTATCTTCTAATCTATTACGTTTTCCGTTTCTGATAGCATATTTTTCATTTCTGAGCGTTTTATTTTCTGAACGTTCCTTTTTAAAAGGAATCTATTCCCTCAAGGAGGGTTCATATACTTCTCTCTGAGGCTCACAGGATGGTGGCATTCTGGGCAGGGGGTCCTTCACCCTGCGGAGTCTCTGTCTTCCAGGCTTTGTCCTCACTGCGTTGGCCTCTGTCATTCCTACCAGGGCACCACCATGCAGGCTGCTGCTTGGCTGCCTGTTCATGATCGGGAGGCGGATGCTAAACGGTGGCTGAGAGCTTTGTGAACACGGGCGGGGCCCCTGCACTGCAGACCTCACTGCCTGTGATCTGCGGAGCCAGGTGCTGGGGAGACTCAGGTGTCTAAACTTCAGTCGGGTGCTTCCAACCGCCTGCTTGGGAGAACGTAACCTGGCCACCCGTGTTCTTGGCAGCAGAATGGGAATGAGGCTCCCCATCCAGTGAATGAACTGTCACTCGGCCCCCTGCGTTCACTGAGGGGACATCCTCTTTGTGCAGAGAGAGGAAGGCCATGCACATCTAGACCCAGGAGGGAAAGAAGGGTCTCAGCGTTCCTCTGATCCTGTTTAAGACACCGAGACAACGCACAGTGCCCCCTCCCAGGGATCTCTTCTCCGCCCACCTGCCAAAGCTAACGTGAGAACAGGAGCTTCCCAGCAGGGGTGGAGAAAGGTGAGATGCTGCTCGTGGCCAGAGCAGCAAGGGTTAGGAGAGAAAGAGCTGGGAAGGAAAGAGGGTGCCTTGTCACCGTGAGAAGTGAAGAGGTGAGTTACATGACAGAAAACTGTGCATGGGAAGAGAAGAGAGGTGGAGTGGAGATGGGAAGAGAAAGGAAAATTCTGTGGAAAGGCTTTCCCGGGCGCTTTGCCAGCAGATCGGGGCCGAGTCTAGTGCTGATGGGGGCACAGGCAGGAGCGGATCACCAGGGTGGGGCAGCAGAAAAGTCTCAGGATGGAGGCCCTGAGGCACTGCCCTGGCTCAAACCGAAGGGCTCCCGGTGCAGCTAAGCCCAGGGGGGCGAGGCTCCAGACTGGGTCTGACTCATTCTGCAGCACCCTCCCCAAGTCCATGCACTCGGACCATATGGGTGTGTGTGGGTGGGGAGGGCACACCTGTCGGGAAATGGACTGATACTCCTCCAACCTTGAGAACTTTTGAGGGGCCACTCAGGGAAAAGCCCTCACTCCATGGAAATGTTCCTCCCCAGGAAAAATCCACTACATTGTGGTTTTGCACTTCACTTGGTCGGGAAGGACCTGAACCTGCACCATGGCCTGTCCCTGCACCCTTTCCTGTCTGCGCTCCCACCACCTCAGTGCCAACCCACCCCACTTCCGGCGGCTGCCAGGAATCATGTGGTCTGTCGGTGGCCCTCTCAGTCATGAACAGATATGTGCAGGGAAAGAAACAAAGAACAAAAAGAAGCCCAGCCAATTTACACCCACGCGCACTGAGTCAGCAATGCCTGTCTGCCCACTCAGAGTAAGGTATAGGGTCCTCCTTGGACTCTTCCCACTGGAGAACACACTAGAAAGTGCACCAGAACCCAGCGCAGTGGATTTCAACACTATCTCCACCGCCCCTACTTCCCACGATTCAGAAGGACTAAAAACAAAACAAGCAAATGCCCACCCACCACAAAATCCCTGACTCCCAGGGACCGGAAGTCAGTTTCCTAGAAGTGGAAACAAGTTTGTTTACTCTATTTCCATGACCCATCCTGACGATGCACGGGCTGCTGAAAGCTAGTGAGAGATGTAGGTGGCTTTTAAAGCATTATTGCAAGGGAAATGGACCACAACCCTATGAAGGGCAGCTGTTAGAGAAGCAAAAGAAAATGAAACAAATCCGAGAGAGGGCCAGTTCCGCGAGCTGCGGCCGCCCTGCTCGATGCTACTTGATGTGCACAGCAGCTCCCAGTGAGGTGAGTTGCAAATGCGAGACAGAGGGGGAGCAGAACACTTATAAAACAGCCAGCGGAGCCAGTCCGCAGTGAAACGTCCGCGCTGAGATGGCAGGTGCTCGCAAATTGCCGGAATGTGCCGGTTGCTTTAGGTTTCTGATAAAAATGCTGTCCTCTGTAGAGCTGGTCCTCAGCAGAGAGAGGAACATGGGTTCGGATTATGGGCTCAACTCTATAAATGCCCATGCACTGTGACCCCCCCCCAACCACACCTACTTCAGGAGGGGGGTTTGGGGCAAAGGAAGTGACATGCTGTAACAGTTTCCTGGGCAGTTTCCAGAAAACACTGAAGGGGCTGGAAACCCGCAGGAAGGGAGGAATGAGGCACGATGGTGTAAGGAAACATTTCTTTCTCCATCAGACATGGTCTGTGTCATCTTCAAGAACAGAAGAGGCAGTAAGTACGAGGAAGAGAACTAGGGGTTAAGGTCTTTACTAAGGCACACGTGACAGCTACTCGTCCCCGAGATGAGACTGGATGTGTGCCTACCCCTGCTCTGCACCGGATGGGCTGGTACTTGGTACTTGCTCAGGCCAGTGCCCACAGAGATATTCTGCTGAAGTCCATGGAAAACTTCAGAATCTCTCAGTGACAACAAAAATGCTTGCTTTACTAGAGTACACTGGACTTGCCAACTAATCCCCCGTGGCAGCGAGAAAGCCAAGCCAGTCTGGCCTGCTGTTGTCAACCCTGGTTTTCCGAACACCCTTCTCAGAAGGCTGAAGCAGGGACAGGCCAGGGAAGGCTACCTTCACGGGGAAGATTTCCTGTCCAAATCCGTCCAATCGTTCCACTTCGTTGATGTACATGAGCTCAGCTTCAGCTGGCGGGATTCCACTGAAATCAAAGAGCAGCAAAGGAGGAAATGGTTAAGGGCAAAACAGGTCAGGGGAAGATCCTGCCCTGTGCGTGGCCCATTCCAGAGCTGCGGTGTAGGGGCAGCCCTGGGAAAAGCAACCATTGCCCAGCTTCGAGGGTCCGGCGCCTCACTGAGTAATTCATTAACATACTCCCCAGTGGCCTTATACTCACAGGGAATACTAAGAGGAAGGTGCAGCATTTAATTAAGAGTCCCAGCCCTGGAAGGCCTAAATAATTATTCCAGACATCCCTAAGAATAATGCTACCTGCTTTTAAAGAATAGTTTTTCTCCTACCTGGAGGGGGAAAAAATCACAGCTATTAAAAAGAAAGAAAGGAAAAAGGGGAAAAACAATACAAAGTCGATGAGGATGATATTCTGAGAGCCAAGCGGCTTGGATGGGAGATGCTAGGACCAGTGCCTGGGTCTTCTGAGGTCGGGGGGGAGGTGGGGGGTGTTTGTTTGTTTCCCACAGAGCCCTGAGCAGTGCTCTGTGCTTTTTTCAGTTACAGTTACCCCCCCCCCACCCCTGTGATGTTCACTGTCCCACCCAAAGTAGCTCTTTCACGACTTCGCTGTGAGCACCAGCAGCCCTAAACTTCCCGGGGCCCAACAACAGATTTTTAGGAAGGTCACAGAGAATAATTCCCCCAGTCACCAACTCCACATGTGTGTGGGCTCTCTGGTATGGAAGAAAAAGGGGAGGTGGGATGTGGTCGGTAAAGGGAGAAAAAAAAAACCAGAAAGAGGGAGGAGGACCCATAGCACAAATCAACACACCCCTCTCAGAGCAGACCTGAATCACAGGCTGGAAAAAATAAACTATGTTGACTCAGGCCAAGGGCTGGGGGCCAGGGGCCCAAATCCTCCTGCCCCGGACAGGACAGGGCTTCGGCTTCATGTGGGGGCCCGGCGGCCCCACCCTCGGCCCATCTTACCTGTGGGCTTTGTGCTCTTGGGCGACCTTCTGTGTCAGCTCCTCCAGGACAGCCTCTTCCAGGGCCAGATCCTATGACGGCAGAAAGCAGTCCAGGCCGTTCCCTGGTTTGCTTCTTGTCCATGCACCCTCCTTCGCCTCCCACCTCCTCAACCCCCCATTCATTCCTTCAAATTGAAGGGTGATTTCCTTCCTGAAGGGTGTGATTTTTAGGACTGGGGGTTTATTTTTACTGTTCTCACGAGGCTCTGCATTATAACTTAAACTACTTCAAGGCATTTGGGGGGGTTGCCACCCAAATTCTGCAGGGTCCAGGAATAGCTGTTATTCATTCACTTTGTTCTTCCTTATTTGCCTGTCTCTTGGACTCAACTTTATTAAAAATGCTTTCTGAGTACTGACGTGTTTTAAACGATCAGGGGGACAAGGCAGATGAGTTCCCAAACCATCATCCCTTCCAAAGCTGAGCCTGGGAAGGGGCTGTGCCTGGCCTTCTCGTCCCTGCCACAACACTGGCAACCGAGTCAGAGCCACCTGCCCGCTCAGTGCCTACATGATGGCGGAGCCTTGGGAGCCAAAGAAGCGGGACGGCCATCATGCATCACAGCCGTTCTGTAAGGTCACAGCTGGGTAGCTGACCAGCTGGTGTCCCCACCACCTGAATCCGAGGCCCCTGGGGCCGGGGGCGTGGCAGCTCCCATAGCATCAACACCAATCTCACCCATCTCTCCCCGACGCCCCTTCAGAGAGGGAAGGGTATTTACAGGGCTGGTAAAATAAACATTCACCAGCAAAGCGCAGTCAGGGCTGGAAATCTGGAGTCTGGAGGAATAAATCCCAGACAGGAGACCAGAGCAACCGGTTCCTGAGACACTGCCAGACTGTGATTCTACAGCTCGTGGGCCCCCCCACCCCCGGGGAGGCTCAAGCCACAGGGCCATCTGCCACCACCCTTCCCAGCAGGGAGGGGACCACAGATGTGCACCGCTTTCCTCTGAGCTCCAGGGGGAGTCAGAGGGGGTCCCGTGCCTTGCGTGCGTCCTGGTGAGGCGGCTCCTCCACACGGCCTGCAGGCGATGTCTGGGCAGAAAACATCTCAAACGCCTCGTTCCCTCGATTCTACAACACTGTTCACGTACAGATCACCTCAAGCTTAACAACTTTTCATCAGAGAAGCGCTACCCTCCAAAATGCATACCTCGAAACTACAAGCAATATCCCATCCCAAGCTGCAAAAAGAAAAAGGAGTATTTTTGGTTTTAGAGCTGAAAAACGGGAGTGTGACTGTATACTGGGGACTCTTCAGCTCTGCAGATGGTCATGAGAAATCTCAGAGAAGATGGAGGGAATTACTAGCAGTTCTTATTTTTCACGTGTTAACCGATTAATTTGCGGTTTCCTGTTTGGCTGTCCATTGAAATGAGTCAAGGCCATGATAGGAAACAAGCTCAACATTTTCAGCTTTAGGTTGTGGAATAATAACAGAGATACCACAGGGCTTAGATTTTAGCTGTGTGTGTTTGTGCATCTAGGCACTGAGTAGCAGTAAGAACACAATACTGATTTTGAAAAGCTAATAAAAGGCATGTGGCAATAGAATAAAATTTAAAAAAAGGTTAAATGCAGATCAAAAAGTGCTCCTTTAAACCTCTGCTTCCTCCTGTGAAAGACAGACACGCCCACAGGTACCCCACTGATACCGCTGTCATTCAGCAGCCTGGCTCTGGACCCGGGGGGCCCCCTGGAGGCACCTGCCCCGCCACGGACTGCGAGTGGCCCCGCACCAATGAAAAGCGGCAGCGTGCATGCCCGTACACAGCCGCACACCTGTGCAGCGCCCTGTGTACTTAACTTTGTTCTTTTCTCTGCTGCAGAAATGCCATTTGACAAATTCGGTTAGGTTTTGAGATCAAACACAGCCATTCATCTCATCTTCCCTCCCCCGCCAGAGGAATGCATTCTTCTCTTTGAAAGGTCTTGTGGAGCCGAGCAGGAAGTTTACAGCCTGCCGTGGTTCCCTGCTGTCTACTCAACTAGGTCAACACCTGGCCTGGCATTCAGGGCACTTCACTGTGACCCAGCCTCCCCTGCTCCTCTCCCAAGGGCTCCAGGGCCCAGGCAAACCCCTCTTCCTAAGACAGACTGCTTCTCCATCTCCACGCACACTCGTGCTGACCCCTCCGAGGAGGACCACCCTGACCCATGACATCACCTCCTACGAAATGTCGCCCCACACTTCAGGACCCCTCTCGGCCACCATTCCGGGGGCAGGGCTTCCCTATCCCCCCCACCCCTTCCACTGAGTCTCTCTTAGAGCCCTTGCCTAGTCTGCTTGCCTACATCTCCCTTACAGAGTTATTTTACACTCACTATACACTCTCTGCCCATGTCTCTCTCCCTCTCCTGGATTCCAGGCACCCAAGGTCATCTGTTCTTCTCCATATCATTTCCAGGACCTGTCACAGGGCTTTTATACAATGGAGCTTATATAAAAAACTTTCAATCTACAGTAAGTAACCCATAAATATGTACTAAACTCAACTCAGTATGCCCCATGTCAGTTTCATTCTTGTCAAAGTGGAGTTTTTAATTATGCAAAGCTGCTTAACAATCGTACGCCATCTGCCTGCCCTCTGCCTGCTTACATTTCAAGATGCATATACTGTTGTCACCGGGAAAGCACACTCATCAGCATCCCTGTCCCTGCACAACGGAGACGCAATAATAATGACAGAGTGATGATGATGAGGAGGAGGATGGTGACAACTACATAAACTCACCGAGAATCTGCCACGTGCCAACTTCAGTACTTTACGGGCATGCTCTCCTTTCATCCTCAATCAAAGTAGGCTTGTTATCCTCATTTTTAGGTGAGAAATGGTTAAATAACTGGCCCAAGTCCATACAGCCAGTAAGGGGCAGAGACAGGACGTGGGCACAGAATGCTTGAGCCCTGTCCTCAGAACCTCCTGACCACAGGCCACAGCGTGTCCAGGATGCAGGGGGAGGTCTGGACGGTACTCGACAGATGGCAACGGCCTAGGAATACACGTGATTTAGACGCACATGCTGACGGCAGCCTCCACCCAGCACCGCGGGGGCTGCCATGCACTGCCTGCAGTGCCGGGGGCGGCCTGGGTCTGAGCTCTCCAGCACAGCGGCCACAAGTCACGGGTGCTGTTGAGCATTTTAAGTGTAGCCGATGCAATTACGGAACTGAGTGTTACATTTTACTTAAACTTTAATTGATTTAAATTTGAAAGTAAGCGGCCACGGGTCACTAGCAGCTACTACCCGGAAGAGAAAAGTTTTATATCCAAGAATGACTTCAATATCTGTTTGCCTGCGGCAGGATTTAACAGGGCCTGTACCGTTTAAATGTCTGATCTGCTCAGAGCTCAGTGGAAACAGTCTCACTCTGAAAAAAGTACAGTACATAAAATAACTCCTTCACTGCCTCGTACTTTAACTTGTCAAGGCATTTCGCCACCTACAAACTCATAAATATCACCGAAGCCTGATCTCTGCTTAAAGGCTACGTGATGAAGATGGTTAATGAGAACCTTGGCTGGGTAGCTCAGTAGGTTAGAGTGTTGTCCTGATGCACCAAGGTTGCAGGTTTGATCCTCAGTCAGGGCACATACAAGAATTAACCAATGACCGCATAAATAAGTGGAATAACACATCAATGTTTCTCTCTCACCCTATCTCTCTCTCCCCCACCTTTTCCTCTCTCTCTTAAATCAGTAAATTAAAATAAAAATTTAGCACTGGCTGGTGTGGCTCAGTGGATTGAGTGCAGGCCTACAAACCAAAGGGTCACCAGTTTGATTCCCAGTCAGGGCATATACCTGGGTTTCGGGCCAGGTCCCCAGTAGGGGGGCACGTGAGAAGCAGCCACACATTGATGTTTATCTCCCTCTCTTTCTCCCATCTTTTCCCTCCCTATAAAAGCAAATAAGTAAAATCTTTTAAAAAGCATATGGTCTGAAATTCTAAGGTATGAGCTTCATACTTTCTTCCCACCAAGCACCCTAAAAAATATCCTGACTTTTCAGGGGGACTTTGGAGAGGTTAGATATTTTAATTCAAGCATGTGGACACTAAATCCTGTGAAGAATTTCTGTGCTAAGTAATAGGGTTTGAATGGAACTTGATTGAATTGGTAGAATTATAAGGCATAAAACAGAGCAGCCCCAGAACACAAAACTGCTGTCTTCTTAGAGGGAAAAAGCCTAAGGAAAGAGCTCCTCGTGCAAAGTCAGACATCTTGCAGCACTTCCCAACCTGTAAGAATGAGGTCGGCCGTCGACCTATTTAAATCTATCCCATGAACTGATGATGTGTAACAAGGGCATCCTAACTTCTCCTAGTGTCTGAAAACCTTTGTCACCAGACACCCAACTTTCTCCCACATGCACAGCCGATCAGCCACCAAGTTCTGCCCATTTTGCTTCCCAAATATCTCTTGCTTCGCTCTCTCGTTTTTATCTTCATTGCTAACACGTAACTCGTATCTGTGACCCAGAACACCACAGAGATTCTCATCTGACCTGCTCCCACAAATGGTCTCCATGCTGCACTCTGGCAGTGCTCAGTGAGGGGCTGTAGATGCCTTCTGGACGGGAGCCCACGTGGGCTAACTCCTCAGGTGTTGCAGTTTCACCTGCCACCTTCAGGTCCCCTCTAGCACGCCTGAGTGGCTGTCCAGCTGACTCTTACCCAGTGACTCATGCCCACCTGCCTCTGCCTTGATCATTCCTTGCTCCCTTCCTCTCCGCAACCCTGCCCATCCTGTTACTCACACACTAACCTTTAAACCTTCCCTAATCCCCCAGGGACATGTAACCCTCTCCCCCCATAAAATCCTGATGTACTTTAATACACTTGACCTTGTGTTTGGATTTTGCAAACTTGCGACTGACTCAACCACTCTTTGTCTGCCTGAGCACGAGCGCTGTTTCTTGTGTAACTTCATCCCCCCGGGGGGTTAGTTGCCCAGGTCAGTGCTTTGGGCCAAACAGTTGATCAAAAAATGTGTGTTGAGCGATTCCGATTTCCAAAATAAGAGCCAGAAATGTCGGCCTGGGCAGAGCTCTCCCCTAACAGGGCTTTTCAGCTGCTTTAATCCTTCCTTGCTAAAACTCTTCTCATTTACCCCGGAGCTACCAAAAAATAAACGATCAAAAACTCCCCAGGGATTAAAGCCTAGCTCCTCCCCTAACTTAACACAGGAATGGACATTTTACTTCGTGGCTAGTTCAGTAGACTGTTAGGAGCACAAGCCACGTCCCAGGACAGTGGTGGACGAGGCAAAGGGGGCCCCAGCTGGAGGAACACGGAGCTGACATTCTTCTAGCTGGGCTGCCGCACAGAGGGACTGAGAGAACCAGGTCAGCAGCTTGAGAGCTGCTGGGAGCTCTCAAGCACACACAGCAAAGGCAGTGATTTACAGGATGGTGGTGGTGGGGGGGGGGTCACATCCCATAGGTGATCAAGGGGAAAAAATGTGCCAAGGAGGTGGCATTTCAATTAAGACTCAAGTGACAAGTCACAGGAAGGTCCGGGGCAGGGTGTCCCACACAGAGAGAACCCACGGACAACAGCTCTGGTGTCAAAAAGGAAAAGAGCCACGGCATTGGAGGACAGTGGTGGTGGCACTGGTGTTATCGGGGAGGTGGGGGTGGGGGGGTGGCGTTGGGGCATAGGCAGAGAAGTGACTTGAAAAGATGGGAAAACACATCTTTACTTTTTCAGTGTTTTACAACATTTGTCCGTATTTTATAAATTCATGGACTCTCCTCCCCAGGAAACAAGTGTATGTAAAATACTCTGAGATTTCCAAAGGAAAGAATTCGACACCCAAAGGTGGTAGCAAATTAATTAAGAAAAAAAGGAAATCATACTTACCATGGGAAACAGCACGTATTCTCTGAGGAACTCTTGAGAATCAAACTGATTATAGTCTCCAAAATCAGCTGAAAAGAAGACAAGAGGGAAGGGGTGACCATTTCATTTTTCACATGAAACTAAAGACGGAATAACATCGGCTGGACCGATCATCACATTCACTCTCTGCACAGCACCCCATTTCCGCACAATTATGAACTAACCCGGGGCCAAGATGCATCTGACACTGTGACCATGTTTACTTAGCAATACTGTCAACAGCAGCGCGCGAGCACCGCTCCACGATTTTCTAGAAAGAATGGGGAAATTTGAAAGCGATTCCTAAGCTATTTTTAAAATTTAAACCGAACCTATATTTATCTTCTTGTTAAATACACATCAGCCCAGGTCCTACGAATGCCTGCCAAAGGGACTTTCTAACTCGAGGCTCATTTGGAGAACTGCAGGGCCAAACCCATCTGTACGTCTTCATGCATTTGCAGCTGGAAATTCCCGCTGTAAATCACCCTTGGCAAGCAACCCTGCAAATCTGTGCACCTCCTACCAAACATCTTCACAGGGTGTCAGAGGCCAAAAACTCAGGGTTGTCCCGTTCCCATCTTACCACGCTGTGCCTGAGTCTGTGCAAAAGGAACACGGTGAGCCCCTATGATACATCTGGGCACCTCTTGCTTCTAATTCCCCTTACTCTCAAAAAAAAAAAAAAAAAGATCAAAGCAGCATGAAATTGAACTGCTTGTCAAAGAATTAGCATCACGTAGAAATTGCTTCAGGCAACCTGAAGGTAACGAGAGAGAAAGAATCCAGGGTTCACCCCGAAGGCCAGCAGAGGGACATCGCGGGGGGGGGGCGGTGTACGGAACTTGACTGCCAACCAAGTGAGGCCTGCAGGAACAGCGAAGGTCCCACGCTCTGCTGGTTTGCGGGAATGGCCACCAGTTACCGTATTTCATCACCAAGTTTGTCTGTACTGATGTGTCTTCCTAACTGCCCAGTGAGGCTCTCAGGGAAAGTCTTTTACAGACCTTACAGTCTGAGCGGGTTTCAGCAGACTGAACGGCTAGCTTCAAGGGCCCAATGAGAAGGGAAGCGAGAGTAAGTTCACCAACTTCCTTCAGCCAGAAAGCTACCACCAGGGTCTCCCCCCATCCAGGATGCCCACCACAAGCCCAATGGCCGACAAGTAAGAGCAGGGAAAGGGAATGAATAAAATGAACAGAATGGAAAGCTTTTTGAAAGGAGAAAGATCCAATATGAAGATGAGGGGCATACTGGATCTTTTCTCTCTTCTGCCTGTCAAGGGTGTCTTTTTCCATTATTTTAATGATTTGCTGTGATAACCAGTGACTGTTCCATCCCATTGTTCCGGACACCGTTCCTTCCTTTTCCGGTCTTTAACTGCACAGATAGGACACGGCGTGTCTGCTGTCCTTCCACGCACAGGGTGACAATGGAAACGAACTGGGAATTAATTATACAGCCAACAAAAATCACGAAACTGCTAATATCCTGGAATGAAAGAGGTCAAGGGAGGGCTTCCTCTATAAACATTTTAGAACTCAAAAGATTCAACTGCAGCTCAGAGTTTGGGATGGGAAGTTCAATTCACAGCTTCTAAAATAACAGCCCACCCAGCAAGGACTCAGCAGCTGACGGGCTTACGTTCGGAAGTTAACTGAGTTTAAAGAAAATAATGGCTGAAAGGAAAACACATTTGTCTCAAAGAATTGTATTTTTATTTTGTTTTGAAAAGGACTAATGGCAATTAAGCTATGGCTCAATAAAGATTAATGTAGAGATATATGTAAAATTAAGTAGCATTATGTTATGTAAATCTATGTAAAAAATATGTGTAATCATTTAAAGAAGATAAAAAAAGTTGCCCGATAAGCCTAAGCAGGACAAGTCAAAAGACAAATTTAGTCAAATGTTTGTTTGTTGCTTCACATTACAAACTGCGTTTTAAATTTCTCTCTTTGGCTGCATAAGAATAAATGATACTCTGATGTTGAAAGCTATCACACTTGAAACTGGTGTGAAAGTCACACGGTCATAGCATTAAGCCACAAAATCCGACCACATTGGGTGGTGGAGTAATTCTGAGAAAATGTCCCACAGACCCTGAAATGTAGCTTTAATTAAAGGCAGGATGAAAGCTGCTATTTTTTCCAAATAAAACGAAGGTCGCACCAGCACAAGCCATTTGCAAACAGCTTTGGGAAAGAAAAAGAACCCACCGTCCTGCCAGAAAACTCACTCCCCACTTCTGATGTCAGCCATCGTGAAATGAAAAGGGAGTTACTGAGGGATCTTTAAGGCCATTTCCCTTTTCCCTCTGTGAGGCCGGTGACATTGTGACCCCAGAGAAAACAGGAATTCACACTCTGGTCTCCCCGCCTCTTACCCTGCACAGCGAGGCCAGCCAGCCGGATCACCTGCTCCAGCGTACACCGCAATCGGCCTTCCAGCACATCTTTTTTGACTTGCAGGTAATACTGATACCTGGTTCGTGGGAAGAGAGGAAACAACCTTAAAAAAAACACATACTTGGAATACATTCCCGCCACATCACTGTCCCTGGTTGTCCATCCAACCTTGTGTCCACAGCAGGACACACAGGTGATGCTGATAAAGGTCGGCTCTCTGAAAGCTGGAAAGTGACCTCTGCCCCTGTTTGCCTTCCTTTGATGTGGCAGGTGCCACATCCCGCTCACTCTGGGTTGGAGCGCATTCTCGTCCTGTCACTTCTCTGTGGGCCGGCAGGATGACCTGCTGATAAGGACCTGCCCTTCCGAACCCAGGCCGAGAGTGAAAGTGTTCTTCCACACCCGAGCCGCTCTCAGCACGGGCTTCCTGGGAAAATTCTGGAAATGCACCATCTTTTTGAACTCAAAAGTTTGAAAGGGTAGATCACAAGTAGGCCAACTCTTGGGAATTCTGCTCAAGGAGGGGATGCAAGTCTTCAAAGCCAGGCTCACCCTGCATGTCTTTGGCTCATAAAAATCAACATCGAATGCAGCCCTGGGCCTTCCCACGAATGTTCTCCAGCCAGCGAACTGCAGACGGACAGAATGTGTCCACACTCAGCTGCCAACCTCAGACCAGACCACTGTTCTCAGCAGCGGATACAGGGTATCGTTTCCTTGCCAACAACACCGCACCCTCAGACTGACCTAAACACTTAGAAATCTGCTCACCCCACACCTTTGCTTCCCGGGACTCTGCTTCCTTTTTAGTCAAACTTAACATATAATAGAAAAACAACCTATTTTTCCTGCTCCCATCCTCTCTCTCAACTAAAATACTGGTCATCGTTTTACAGAGCCCACTACTCCACGCACGCTCTGACTTCCAGTAAGAGCTACTTATCATTTACAAGGAGATAACACACTGACTAAGCACTTCCTGTGTGTCCAAGTCAGGAGAAGCCAGGGCACACCCAGGAAAGGTCTGAGACGGGCTCTACCTCCCAGGAAGGCTCATCGTCTCTTGACCACTGCAGTCACGTTTCTGTTCCTAGAGCACTATGAAGGGTTCAATGACTAAGAACCGACGAATAAAGTATTTTAAAAGGTGTTACTGTGGCATTATCTGCCACAACTCAAGGCTTTTTTCCGTGTCACCTTGGAGATGAAAACGATCAGCTGACACCTTTGCAAACGGAATATCCACTCATTAATCCGTGGGACCCAGCAAAACAATGGTTCTAGTGTCCTCACCCTGCTGATCCCAACTTTCCTCTGCAACTATCACGTCTGGGATGCACGGGCAAGTTCCACTGCAGACCCGTCCCGTCCTGGGCAACAGTGAACGCCCACCCACCAGCCACTGGCTGCACACCAGGCTGGCTCCTGGTCGCTCAGGGTGGGTGTGGGTTTGTACCGGGATGCACAGCCGAGGCGCTGACGCAGTGCTTTGTCCTGGGAGCCTTCCAGAGTGCGAGAATCTGACCCGCGCTCAGGCCCCGGCGCCATGACCTCGTGAGCTCGGGGACAGCGCTACAGGAGAACGCAGGCATGAGGGTGAATCTGGACCACTTGGACACTATGTGCTATGGTTTTGCTCCAAAGGCACTTTTACAAAATATAATAATTCTATCCTAGAGGAAGACTAAATGAGAGAATAGGAGCTGTGCTTCTATTTTCAGCCTGTTTGGGTTTTGCTTATTTTTGATTAGCAATTCGATTCTGACGGCGGTAAAATATAAGAGTGAATCCTATTTTGGAAACATGCAATTTCATGGAAGTTTACTCCACCCTGTCACAGCTCTGGGTGGAGGGGAAAAGCAAAAAAAAAACAAAACACACACAAACAAAAAAAACCCAATCCTCATGCCAGGAAAGTAAGTATTTGCCAACTTTCCGAAGGGATTCTCTTTGAAAACTCAAGTTCACAAGGCAAACTTTTCACATTCAAAGACCTGGAAATCATCTGACTGCCGAGGTCCCACGAAGTGGTCTGAGGTTAGGATCCTGTTCTCCCCCTAAGAAGTGGTGAACACAATTATGCCTACTGAGTAGGGGTCAAATGTCTATTTTCAAAGTCGTTGGTTTTGTTTTGAATCTGTCGGGAAGATCGAATGTGCATTAAACGCAGGTTTCTGTGGGTGAGACGGAGGAGCCTCCTGGTAGTTGGTGCCAATGAGTATCCCAGTCGGAGCCCGCCAGTCGCTGGAAACCAGTCTCTGGCAAGTCTCTCTTGTCTGGAAGGTTTCTATTTAATCTCAAGAAAATAAGTGACTTGTCCGTGTTCCTTCCTCCCCCTGTGATTTTTGAAAAGGAAGTTTTAAAAAGTGCCGTATCTGGTCAAGTCACCAGAGCGTGCCATCTGACGGGGGTGTCCAAGGACCCTTTCAAAATTCCACTCCATAACATTACCCTCCACTCTTGCAGATGAACTGCTAAGAGCTGCAATCTCTGTTCTTAATTCTCACGTAAGGGATTTCTCTAGGCAGTTACGCAACCACGGTTTTACTTGCTGGTCCATCACTGCTTCTCGGATTGAGAAATTCCATGAGGTGGGTGTCCTAAAAGGTATGACCTGTGTGACCATAGAACTCCCAATAAGATGCAAGAAACCCAGAGGCCAAATACAAGTCACCTTTAAAATATTTCTCTCACCCCTCCCAGGAGTGCAATACTCATTCCAGGTCAGCGGAAGAGCCTCAAACAGGGAATGGCCAGGAAAAGACCAAAGGCTTAAGAACTGACTTTGGTCCTGCTTCTACTCAAGGACGCACATCCTGAGCACAAATCACAGGACCGTGGAGCTAGGAGGGTGGGAGGCAGTTATTACTGTTCCAAATATTTGCTGCAGCTGCCCTGAGGGCCTCCCCTCCAGAGGGTCACACACCTGCCACCTCATTAACTCTGTCTAGCTTTGGGGTCCACGCAATGGGGGTGGAAGTGACCTGTGCCACTCCTGGGCCGGAGCCCCCTGATCCGGTGGGTGCCTGGTTCCCATCTGTACCCCTAGCCCCACCCCCGCCCCTGCAGTGTCCAGGCAGGGACTTCAGCTCAGGGAGACTGAGCCCTGGGGACAGAAGGCAGGACACATAGTAGACACAAAGGGTGGGCAAGGAACAAGCCTTTTTTTTTTTAAATAACAGAGGTCTGGGGTCCTCTTTTGTCGCAGCATGAGCTGGACTCACTTATTTCCCAAGGGAAGGATTTCAAAAAGTCCAACCCTTTTGTTTTTAGAAAAGGAAACCATGTTGAGGGAGAATGACGTGCCCAAGGTCACGGTGCTCCCCGAAGGCAGGGACAGACCAGAGCTCGAGCTCCCTTTCACGCCCACTGCCCTGTGCCCCCAGTGACGGCGGGATTTGATTCCCAGCCAGCACAGGCAAGCCATCAGGTCCCCTGAAGTCTAACCATAAAGACGGGAACAAAACCACCACTACCTGGTGATGCTTATGACCCAAGGCTTCTGGGGAAGGACTTCAGTAACCAAGCTGCCCTTCCTCCCGCATTAGGTGGTCTGGGCCACAGGCCTTGAGGCAAACATCGACCCAAGAAGTTCTGTAAAAACCCAGCACGGGACATGTTTTATAAATTGGCTCCTGGATTATTCAGAGTTGTTTTCTCTCCCAGTAAGAGCCTCTGGGATAGTTCACTTTCCTCCCCCGGCGGCCGGGGAAGGGAAAGGAGACTGCGTGAGCTGTGCATCCAACTACTTGTTTACAACTTTATAAGATGCACAGAGGGATTCGGTCCAATCTAGAGACTGCGGACTCTGAGCAGAGGCTCCTAGCCAGGAGAGGCCGTGCCCACAAGCAGGTACAACTAGGCCCATTAAGTGTATGGATTTCCAAACGCAGATTTTAAAAAATAAACAGCAGTTCATCGGTGTTACACAGTCTTTACAGACTCTGGCTTTGAGTAAAGACCCTTCTGGACCACGGATCAGAAGAAAGTTATCCAGACTTCGTTCTGTTGCCACCATAACACCACCCAACGAAGTGATATGACCAGCACTCATCACCCACGCATGACTCTGCCTACCCGCGTTGCCCCAGGAGAGCTGGGACAGAGAGCCGACGCTTTTTCATAGTTAAAGGCAGGCCCGCGAAGGCACAGTATAAGCTGCAACTTCGCACCTGCAGTATCCCTGTTATTATCAGACAGCTTGATTGGCTCTGCCCTCCAGAGAGTTCAAGGTCAGTCAAATCAACTGACCTCTTCCCATGTGCATGGTCACTAGGGATGTGACAATTTTTAGAGGGAGGGGGCATACCAGTATCACCCTTAGATTTCTCAGTCTGTGAAGTCTTTCCCTACAAGTCCTGGGGTAAGAGGAGGAGAGAGGAGGAGAGATTGTTTTGTCATTGTCTTTAAGACTTTAAAAGCCCCTTCCAAACTAGAAAACTCCCTCTACAATCAGCAGTATCAGAAGAATCTTGCTAGAATGTACTGGCACCTAGATTCCCTCCCTGCTGACTTGGCCAGTGCAGAACGCACCAAAGCACTCGAGTTGCTTTCTGGTTGATGTTATATGGGGGGGGGGGGGGAGGGGAGGCAAATGAATATAAGAAAATGAATGCACATGTTTCTCTGCTATAAAAGACAGAAAAGAGGCAACTGAGGACATGCTATCCTAGGCTTCTGGGCACAGGACAGCAACAGAGAGTAATTTTAACTCTCAGAGGGACAGGAGAGAAACAGTACATTCCAGCCATTCCAGAGGGTGCTCACGGCTGTAAATCCAGATAATGGGCAGGGCGGTCCACCGGGTTCTCCCTCCACCGGGACCAGATCAACAGTGTGCACGCAGGCTCGCAACCAGATAAACCTGACCGCCTGCCTGCCTCTTTCCTTCCATCCCTCCATCCTCAAAACCCCTGAGAAGACTTTTAATCTATGATTATTCGGGTATAATAAGGTGTTTGATACCTGGCCCGTGCACTATCTACAAGCTTTTACAGTTAATGAATTTTCAAGTTGACAGTCAATTAAAACTATCATCTAGCAAACTACAAAGCCAACCCGCCTGCAAGTATGCAA